AGCCCCCATGAACCCCCCCCCCATTGTGACCCCCCGGGGACCCCCTGACCCCCCCGTGCCCCCCCAGTTTGCCGTCCTGCTCAGCATCATCTTCCTGGTGGAAATCGCCGCCGCCATCGCCGGATACGTCTTCAAGGACAAGGTGGGGACACGTGGGACAGGGACACAGCCCCCCCTCCCCCGGGGTCCCAGGGACCCCCTGGCCCCGGTGTGACCCCCCCGCCCCCCCAGGTGAGGTCGGTGCTGAAGGAGGGGCTGCAGGAGGCCATGAACAAGTACGAGGAGGACCCGGCATTGACCGAAGCGCTGGACGAGCTCCAGAGGGACGTGAGTATCGGGGTGGGGGCGCGGGGGGGCATCCGGGCCCCCCTGACCCCCCCCTTCCTCCTCTCAGTTCAAGTGCTGCGGGGCCAACAACTACACGGACTGGGCCAACATCAAACAGTTCCAGGCCAACGACACCGTGCCCAGGTCGTGCTGCCGCGTCAACACCACCACCTGCAACGTCCACCCCAGCCCTGAGACCGTCTATGAGAAGGTGAGACCCCCCTCCCAGACCCCCCTGCCATGCCCCGGGGGGGGTCCTGCACCCCCTGAACCCCCCTGTCCCCCCCCAGGGCTGCCAGGAGAGCATCGAGGCGTGGATGAAGAAGAACATCCTGGTCGTGGCTGCGGTGGCTCTGGGCATCGCCTTCTTCGAGGTGGGATGTGGGGCTGAGCCCCCCCAGTGTGGGACTGACGCCTTGGTGTGGGGCTGAACCCCTGCAATGTGGGGCTGACAGGGCTGACCCCTCCCAACACCCCGCTGTGGGACTGTCCCCCTGACCCCTCTGGAGTGGGACTGACTCCCCCCCTCAGTGTGGGGCCGATGGGGCTGAAACAACCCCCCCCATGTGGGACTGACCCCCTTTTTTCCTCCCCAGATCCTGGGCATCATCTTTGCCTGCTGCCTCATGAGGGGCATCCGCAGCGGCTACGAGGTCATGTAGCCACCCCGACACCCCTAGGGGGGCTCCGGGGTCCTGGGGGGGTCCCCCTCGGCTCTGCTGGGGCAGGGTCCACGTGCCAGCTCCCCCCGGGGGTCCCTCAGGGCCGGGAGGTGTCCCTGGGTGTGGAAATAAAGAGAAAAAACTTCTGTAGAGCTGAGTGTGCCCCCCGGGAGTGGGGGGCGTGGGGGTCCCTCGGGGGTGGGACAAGGACCTTCCTGGGTGGGGGCCATGTCAGTGTCCCCAAATCCTCGTGTGCTTTCTCAATGTCCCCAAGTTCCCACGTGTCACTGTGATGTCCCCAGCAATCCCTGAGCAGGCTGGGGTCAGGCTGGGGGGCTTATTCACCACCCTTGGGGGGTCTCACAGCTCTTGTGGGGGTCTGGGGGCTCTGTAGGCCACCTCAATGTCCCCAACAGTCCCTGAGTGCCACCTCAATGTCCCCAAAGCCCCATGTGTAACCTCAGTGTCCCCAAATTCCCGAGTGCCAACAGCCCCCAGCAGCCCCCGAGCAGGGAGGGGTCAGGCCGGGGGGTTTATTCACCACATTTTGGGGGTCTCACCGCCCCCGGGGGGGGTCTGGGGGCGGTCTAACGGACACGGTGGGCCGGCTTGGGCAGGATGGTGGCCAGGACCAGGTCCACGACGCAGGAGGGCAGGTAGGAGGCCGGGAGCCAGAGCAGCTTCGCGTCCCAGCCCGCGCTGTAGCGGGTCCGGGGGTGTCGCGCCCCCAGCGCGTGTTCGATGCACCCCGTGACCTTGGTCAGGTCCCCGTCACACATCAGGGTCATGATGAACCTCTGCACCTTCAGGTCTGGGGGGGAAAAGGGGGCATCAGGTGGGGGGAAGGGGGTTCAGGGAGGGGGACACAGGCAGCGGTGACTTTCTGCACCTTGAGGTCAAGGTGAAGTGGGAAGGGAGAGTGGGGGAACCGAGGCAGAGATGAGCTGTTGCACCTTGAGGTGTCAGGGATACAGGAAAAGTGGATGTAGGTGAGGGGAAACTGAGGCAGGAGTGAGATGCTGCACCTTGAGGTCTGGGGGGGTGTGAAAAAGGAGGGTCAGGAAAGGGGGAACTGAGGCAGAGATGAGCTGGTACGCCTGGTGTAGCACCGTGTGGGTGCAAAGGATGCAGGAAAGGGGGTGGTGTGGAAGGGAACTGAGGAAGCTCAGGGGGATGAGGGAAAAGAGGGTTCGGGAGGAGGGAAACTGAGGCAGAGCCCTCCTGCCCACTCACACTTATAGAAGCCCCCCCCCCTCACAGTTTTGGAAGCCCCCCATCCCCTCCCATTTTTGAAAGAAGTCCACCCCACCCACATTTTTGGAAGAAGTCCTCCCCGTAGCTCAGCCGTGTCTCAGGTGCCAGGCGCTCCCAGAGCTGCTGCAGCGATGCCTCGAGGACCTCGAGGTTGGTCACGGCCGTCTTGAAAAACCCGGGCTCGACGATGCTCACCTTGACCCCGAAGTGGTACATGTCCCTCCTGGGGGGCATGGGCGGGTCAGGGGGGCTCCAGGACCCCATAGGGAGGGGTCAGGGGCGGGTGGGGCCTGGCACGCACCGCAGGCTGTCAGAGAAGGCCTCGACGCAGTACTTGGACATGCAGTAGCCGCCGCCGTTGGCCGAGATCCGGCCCAGGACACTGGACGTGTTGACCACCCGGCCCCGCGCCCGTTTGAGCAGCGGCAGCAGCTGCAGCGTCACCTCGATGGCCCCGAAGGTGTTGACGGCCATGACCCGCCGATAGTCCTCGATGTCCATCCACTCCGTGGGGCCGATCGGGTTGGCCACCCCCGCGTTGTTCACCAGCCCGAACAGGCCTGTGGAGGGCACGGGGTGAGGTCCCCCTGCCACGGCCCTGCCCCAGGGCACCTCCCCTGGGACCCCCACCCCACCCCCAGTGTGCCCTTGTGGGACCCTCCCTCCGTGTCCCTGTGCCTCCCTCAGGACCCCCGTCCTGTCTCCGAGGTGCCTTGGCAGGACCCTCCCCTCTGTCCTGCCCCACGGCTGTCCCTGCTGGGACCCCCCATCCTGTAGCCCCTCTCTGGGGCTCCCCACAGCCCCACCGCCCTTCACCTTAGGATGCCCTGGTGGGACACGCCCCCCATGTTCCATCCTTGTGAGGGACCCCTAATCCTGCCCCACAGCCCCTCCCCAGGTCCTCGTCCCCCCATATCCCCCGTGCCCCCCTTGCGTGCCCCCCTTGCCCTCACCTTTCTCTCCCACCTCTGCCCTCACCCACTCCCCGGCCCTGCGGATGCTGTCGGAGCGGGTCACGTCCAGCAGGGTGGTCCTGAGGTGGCCCCCGCAGCTCCTCTGGAGGCTCTCGGCGCCGTGCGGGGTCAGGCAGGCGGCGAGCACTCGGTAGCCCCTCCGGCTGAGCCGCCGGGCCAGGAGGTTGCCAAAGCCGCTGTCACAGCCCGTGATGAAAACGTGCTTGTCCTTCACCGAGGGCAGGGTCCGGTGGTCTCGCACGGGCCAGCCCAGCGCCCAGGCCAGGGCAGCCAGCACCACGTACAGCCACATGGGGGGGCCTGCGGGGCGGGGGGGGCTGTGGGACCCCCACCAGGACCCCCCTGCAGCCCGGGTGGAGCTCGGCTGGACCCCCACCCTGCCCCGGTGCCACCGGCCTCTGGGGAGGGGGGGCTGTGGGACCCCTGCCAGGACTCCCCTGCACCCCAAGTGGAGCCCCGACCCCTCACCCCTCACGTGGGGACACCCCCCTGCCCCCCCGGGGGTCTGGTCCCCCTCAGGTGGGGGGTGGGCAAAGGGGGGCACTCAGTGCCCAGGTGCTTTGGGCACACAGGTGACCCCAGGGCCGTCCCTGTCCCCCCGGGGTGGTGTTTGGTGCCCCCGGCCCCCCCCGAGCCCCCCCCCCGGCCCCTGACCCACCTCCCCGCGGCCAGGCCGGGCCCGCGGGCGGCCGAGCCCGGATTAACCGGCCGTGCGTCACCGCCGGGGCCGGACCCAGCGCCGGGGCGGCTCCGGGAGGTCCCGCCGCGGCCCCTCCCGCAGCAGGAGCGACCCCCGGGGCCCTCTGACCCCCGGGGCATGCGGGGAGGGGGCCTGCACCGTGGGGTCTGGGACCCCCGACCCACCTGCCCCCACACCCGCCCCTCGCGGGGAGGGAGCCCTGGGGGGGCCGTGCCCCCGTGCAGGAGCCCCGTCTGAGGGGTTTTGGGGGTGTCGGGACCCTCCGTTGCTGGTTGGGGGTCATGGACCTGGTGGGGTGGGAGGGACCCCCATTCCCACCCTCGGGTTTGGGGGGGTCACTAAAGGGGGGAGGACAGTCAGGGTCTGCCCTGTGCCGGGGGGAGGGCATGCCCCCCTCCAGAAGCCCCATCTGGGGGGGCTTGGTAGGTGTCAGGACCCCCATTGCTCCCCACTTTCAGGTTTGGGGGGGACACCGAAGGGTGGGGGGACACCCGGGGTCTGTCCTGCACCTCCAGAGCTGGGGGGGTGGGCAGGACAAACTGGACAAACTCCCCTCACCCGGCCCTGGGGCAGAACCCCCTCTCTGGGCAGAAGCCCCGCAGGAGACCCCCATGGGTCGGGGCGCAGAGGGGGGTCCCCACCTACCTCCTGAGGGCAGAGGGCTCCAGGCGCTGCTCTGGCCACGGCGCTGGGGCCGAGTGAGGTGGGGGGGTCCCGTGAGAGCGGGGGGGGGACGTGGCCACTCCTCCCTGTGCCCAGCACGGCCAAAGGTCTCGGGGGGCTGAGCTCCCCCCCCGCGATGCTCCAGGGAAGGGGGGGCTTGGGCACCTCTGGGGGTGCTGGGAGACCCCCTCACCTTGTTGGGGGACCCTCCCCATGGAGGAGACCCTGCCCAGAGAACACAGAGACCCCTGGGGCCCCCTCCCAGCCCGGGGGATGGGGGGGCATCGCCCCCTCCCTCGGGGGATTAGGGCCCTCCCAGCCCTGGGAAATAGGGGGGGCATCACCCGGAGCCTCCCCCGGGGGGATTTAGAGCCCAGAACGGGCCCTTTGTCCCAGGGAAAAAGGAGCCTCAGAGCCGAGTTAAGCACTAAGGAGGATGAGGGGGCTTAGGGGGGCCCGGGGGGGCTGTACCAGGGTCCTGCCGGTGCCTGGCCCAGCCCCCCCTCCCCGAGCTCCCCACACTTTATTCCACCCACTCCCAGGGTGGGGGGTCCCGGGGACGCTCCAGGAGCTGCTGCTGCAGGACCCCCGTCCTGTGCCGGGAGCAGCCGCGGTGCTGGGGGTCCCAGGGGTCCCGGGGGTCCCTCAGGAGCAGGAGGAGGGCTGGAGCTGCCCCTTGTAGACGTACTCGAGGGCGGTGGCGATGGTCCTCATGTCCATCTCGATGCTCCGCGCCCAGTTCTCCACGTCACCGATCTCCTGCGGGACGGGGTCCTGGGGGTCTGGGGGGGTCCCACGGGGGCCCAGGGATTTGGGGGGGGTCCCATGGTGGAGGGAGGGCTCGCAGGGATTTGGGGGGTCTCTGTCCCTCCCTCTGGCAGATGCAGCCCCATGGGGCTGCTGGGACCCCCTGGGTGCTCCCCGAGACCCTCTGGATTCTGCTGGGACCTCTGGATGCCACCCAGGCCCCCCTTGATGCTGCCCAAGACCCCTGGGTGCTGCCCACCCACTCCAGCACAAACCCAAGGGTCTGGGGGCTGCCCCCCCCCCAGAGACCACAGGGGGCCCTCCCCTCCCCCTCAGTGCCCCCTCCCCTTATTGCCCAGTGCCCCAACTCAGTCCCAGAGGTGTCCCAGAGTGACACCCCCCGTGGCGGGTCAGGGGTGGGATCCCCCCCAAGGGCTGTGGATTTTGGAGAGGGGCCCCCCACCTTGAGGGCCTGGTTGAAGTTCTCCACCATGGAGATCCAGTGCCCCGTCTGCCGGGCAAACTGGGCCGCCTGCACCTGCAGGGTCTTCACCTCCTGGTCCAGTTTGCGCTGGTTCACATAGGCCTGGGCCACCCTGGGGGGCACGGGAGGGGCTGGGCCGTGGGGTCCTGCCCTGACACCCCCCAGGGCAGGGGGAGCCCCGAAAAAGGGACAAAGAGCTGGGGAGGGGTGGGGAGGGGTTGGGAGGGGCGGGGGTTTTGTTGGGCAGGTGTTTTGGGGGGGAAGGGGTGAGTGGGCGGGGGGTCCTAGGTGGGTCCCCAGCTGGGGGCTTGGGGTTTCTGTGGGTCCCTGGGAAGGGGGGTCTGCGGGGCTCGGGGGTCGCCAGGCATGGGTTTGGGGCTCAGGGAGTCATCAGAGGGGGTTTGGGGGTCCCCTGCTGTGGTTTGGGTTCCAGGGGTCCTCGGTCGGGGTCCTGGGGTTCCCCGCCGTGGTATGGGGGTCCCCGGGGCGGTTGAGGACCCGGGGGCCCACGGAAAGGTGTCCCCAGTCCGGGTCGGGGGGTAGTGGGCTCACCCCACGTTGAGGTGATCGACCAGGGCCTCTTTGAGGCGCGTGGCGGCCGCGATCGCGTCCATTCGGCGCCGCTCTGTGTGGGGACGGGGGGGTCACATACAAACACACACAGGGCCGTGAGGGCAAGCGGGGTCCCCAACTCCGTGACGTCACATGTACGCGCCTGACGTCATCCTGACATCACTGCCCTCCCGCTCCCCTCCGTGACGGACAGCCGCGCCAACCAATGGGGCGCCGGCCCGCGGTGAGCGGCAGGTCCCGCAGCCAATGGCGGGCGGGGGCGGTCGCGGTCGCCATGGTGCCCGGGGGGGGTTCCACCCTGCAGCTCGCGCCGCTCGCTCTGCCGGGCCTGGTGCTCCTTCAGCGGCCGCGACAGCATGGCGGGGGCACGTGACCGTGACGTCACCGACACGTGACTCCCGAATTGGCACGTGACACGGCGCGCGGGGACACGTGACCGGGGGTTTTGGGGGGCGAGGGAGGGACCTATAGGGGACTGTATGGGGTCTATAGGGGTCTGTATGGGACTGTATGGGGTCTATAGGGGACTGTATGGGGTCTATAGGGGACTGTAGTGTCTTAGGGGACTGTAGGGGGACTGTAGGGGACTGTATGGGGTCTATAGGGGACTGTATGGGGTCTATAGGGGACTGTATGGGATCTATAGGGGTCTGTATGGGGTCTATAGGGGACTGTATGGGGTCTGTAGGGGACTGTATGGGGTCTATAGGGGACTGTAGGGGACTGTATGGGGTCTATAGGGGACTGTATGGGGCTGTATGGGGTCTATAGGGGACTGTATGGGATCTATAGGGGTCTGTATGGGGTCTATAGGGGACTGTATGGGGTCTGTAGGGGACTGTAGGGGACTGTATGGGGTCTATAGGGGACTGTATGGGGTCTATAGGGGACTGTATGGGACTGTATGGGACTGTATGGGATCTATAGGGGACTATAAGGGATCTATAGGGGACTGTAGGGGACTGTATGGGACTGTATGGGGTCTATAGGGGACTGTATGGGGTCTATAGGGGTCTGTAGGGGGTCTATAGGGGACTGTAGGGGGTCTATAGGGGACTGTATAGGGTCTGTAGTGGTCTGTAGGGGACTGTATGGGTCTGTGGGGCCTGGATGGGGGGCTGGGGGGACTATAAGGGGTCTGTATGGAGGATGGGGGATTTGGGGGGGGATTGAGGGGGGTCTGTCTGTAGGGTCCTGCACTCCAGAGGCTGCTGGAATGACTCTTAACCCCCCCCTTTTCCCCCCTAGGTGTTCCCAAGTGGGAATTCCCGCCCTGCCACCCCCTTCCCGGCCCTGAATCCTCGGGAATTGTCCCGCTCAGGGAGGGACTGGAGCCGGAGCCACCGTCAAGAAAGTGCTCCTGGAATTCCCTCGGGAGAGCCGGGACTGGGGGCTGCCAAAAGAACCGTTGGGGTCACCCCGGGAGCCGGGGGGAGGAGGAGGAGCGGGAGGAAGGTCATTCCATCACCTTGGGCAGGGAGAGGGAGGAGGAGGAAGGCAGAAGGATTCGGGAGCCCCAGAACTGGGGGATGATGACGAGGAGGATCCTGTTGTTCCCTCAGGCTGGGCACGGGGAGGGAGGATGAGGAAGGCACAAACCCCGGGGTTCAGCAGCCCCAGAGGATGAGGAGGATGAGGAAGATTCATCATTCCCTCGCGCTGGGGAGGGAGGATGAGGAAGGTGAGGATCAAAGTGGGGAGGGGGCTCAGGGCCCTCCAGCTCCCGGTTCCGCCTCCCCGCAGTGGCCCCGCGGTGCCGCTCCCAGTCACTCCCAGTTCTCCCAGCAGGGACCTGGCGGAATTCCCGCAGAACCCGAGTGCGAAACGTGGCCGGAGATAAACCCCGGAGGGTAAAAATAACCCCGACTCCGGTTCCAGCCCCTCCGAGCCCCGGGAGCGGCTCCGGTATCGATCCCGGGGGCCCTGGGAGCCAAGGAGTGTTTTGGGATTGGGGGGGGGGCTGTCGGCATTCCTCTGCCCCCCCCCATCCCGGGATTGGCTCCGGGAGGGTCCCGGCGGGGTTTGGAGTGGGCAGGGACGGCCATTCCCGGCAATTCCTGCCCCGCCTTCCGCAGGAACGGGAGGTCAGTGCCCGGTGGGGGCCTCGCAGGTGACGTGACCCTCGCCCAGGTGCCGCGGGGGTGACACCTCTCCAGGCGCTCATCCCGTCGCCAATGTGCTGATGGGGAGCTGCTCCCGTCCCTCCCCCCGCCCGTGGACGGTGCTCCGGGGGTATCCCGGATTTCGGGATCCCATCCAGCCCTCCCCGGAGTTCACAGAGCGTTTCCCTCCCTCCTTCCCTCCCGTCCCTGCCCCGCCCCAGCGCCGCTCCCACCTCCGCTCCCCGGGAAGCGCTTCCCCGTCGCCCACTCGGAGCTCCCGATCCCTTCCCAGCCGGGGCCGTGGGAGCGGGATCAGTCCGGCCCCACTTGCCCTCTCCGTGCGGGGGGGGATCAGCCCCGCGGCCCCCCCGGAGCCACCGGCAGCCGCTGGGATGGGGCTGCGGGTTCAGGGAGCTCGGAGCTCCCGTCCCAGTCAGAATCAGAGCGAAGGGAATCTCCCAACAAGGAGTTTTCTCCTCCTGATACCTGATTCTGACCCCCCCCCGGCCATGAGAACGCTCATGCTCCATGTGCACATCCCTCCACTTTTTGGGACGCTTGTCCCAGAAAGAACCCCCTGGAGATGAGACAGAGGGGACAGAGGGGATGGAGGCTCCGTGTACGGGGGTGCTGAGGTGGGACGAGGTCACGGGACAGTTTTGGGCTTGGAAATCCCCATCCCAAAGGATCCCTGGGTGCTAATCAGGAGCAGCTGCTGCCTCCAGCACATCTCCAGGAGGGGGGGGAGCCCCAAGGGTCCATCCCAGAGCTCAGGTTCGGCTCATTTTGAGGGAAAACAACCTGGATTTGGAGCCTTGGAAGCTCATTCCTCCAAGGTTTGGGTTGTTACTCCCAGGAGCAGATTTTGGGGTCTCCTCTGTGCCATCACCACCTGGAATCCTGGTTTATCCATCTTCCCGATGTCCTTCCTGGTTATCCAGCAGATCCTCCTCCCTGGGGAGCCCCCCGGGGGGGCGGGAGGCCAAGCAGCCCCCTGGGAATGGGTCTATTCCCGTCCTCTGCTCCCAGGCTGTTCCCACGTCCGGGAAGGGATTTGGGCTGGAAAGTGGGAAGAATGGGGGGTGTCTGGGAGGGGAAAATGGGGGGCATGGACCCTCCTGGGCCTGCTCTGGTGCCCCCCAAAGGTGGGGAGGAGGAGCTGGGGGTGCTTCCAGCGGTGCTGGAGCTCATTCACACGGCCCTGGCAGCTCCCAAATATCTCCTAAGGCTTTTGGAGAGCGGATAAAAATAGCCAGGGAGCTGGAAAATATGACAAAGCCCCCAGTCCCCCCCAAAAACGGCCGTGGGGGGCCTGGGGCCAAGCTGGGGTCACAGCTGCTCCCAGGGGTCCCGGCACCGCTGACCCCCATGTCCTGAACACTCCTGGGGGTCCTGGCACTGCTCACCCCCTGTGTCCCCCCAGGAGCCCCCACAGGCACCGGCCCCTTCAGAGTGGGGGTGTGGGGCCCTCTCCTCCTGTTTTTGGGGTTCAGGGAGTTCCTCCTCTCCCAGCCCAAGGATGGAGGTGAGAGGGGACCTCAGAGGGGCTGTCCTGTCCCCCTCCCTCTGCTGTGTCCCCCAATACTGGGGTATCACTGCAGGCAGTGGTACCAGAGTTTTGGGGTCCCTCCTGCCCACCCAACCCTCTACTGCCCAGCAATGAGCAGTGATTTGGGGCTGGGGGACACCAGGGGGGTCCCCAGTGCCCCTGGGACTCTGTCGGGGGGGGAGGTCACTGGGTACCCCCACTGGATCCCTGATGACAGAGTGTGGGGTGCGGGGGCTATGGGTGCTGTGGGGTTCAGCCTTTGTGCTGTGGGGTTCCGTCTGTCCCACATGGGGTGCAGTCTGTCCCATGGGTGCAGTCAGTCCCACATGGGGTTCAGTCTGTCCCACATGGGGTGCAGTCTGTCCCATGGGTGCAGTCAGTCCCACATGGGGTGCAGTCTGTCCCATGGGTGCAGTCAGTCCCACATGGGGTTCAGTCTGTCCCATGGGTGCAGGCAATCCCATATGGGTGTAATCAGTCCCATATGGGTGCAGCACCTGCCATACAGAGCAGTCCCCGCCACACGTGCCGCGATGCTCAGCCCCATCCCGGGGTGGGACTCCCGGGGGATTCCCCTGCGCGGGCGGGCGGGGCCGGGGCCGAGCCCCCTCCCCGGGACAGCCCGGGCTCCTCCCGCGGGCGGCGGAGCGGCGGGGCCGGGGCGCGGCGGCGGCGGGATGGAGGGTCCCCGGGGCCGCTCCCGGGGCCGGTGCCGGTGGCTGCCCTGGGTCGCCCTGCGGCTGCTCGCGGTCGCCGCCTTCAACCTGGACGGCGGCAGCCCCGTGCTGAAGGACGGCGAGCGGGGCAGCCTCTTCGGGGCTGCCGTGGCACTGCACCGGCAGCTCAGCCCCGAACCGGCGGGCTGGTGAGTGCGGGGGGCGATCCCCGGGGAAGGGGGTGACCGGAGACCTGGGGTGGGGACACCCGACCCCGGGAATGGGGGGGACCGTAAGTCCCGGGACTGGGGGGGATCTGGAGCCCCGGGACTGGGGGGCTGAAGCAGGACCGGGAGTCCCGGCTCTGGGAGGGGACCCGGGCTGGACGAGCCCAGGAGCCCCGGGAATGGGAAGGGAAGGAGCCCCGGGGCGGGAGGAACCGGAGACCGGGGCTGGGGTCCTCGGGATTCGCGGGGGGTTCGACCCACCCACCCACCCGCGCTGCAGCTCCGAGGGGACGGGGACAGGCGCGGAGTCGCCGCCTGCGCGGCCCGGGATTATTCAGCATTAACCGCGGACGGGGACTGGGGGGGGTGTTGGGGGGGTTCGGGGGTCCATCGCTGCATCCCCGGGGTGCTCGTGTGGAGGGACCCCCCCGGCTGGGCCCCCCGGGCCGTGACCGCCGCTTCCCCCGCGGCCGCTGCGGCGAACGCCCACCCGCGGCTGCCGAGACCCCCGTCACGGCCCCGTGTCCCCTGTCCCCGTGTCCCCCAGCCCCCCTGTCCTCGTATCCCCCAACCCCCGTGTCCTCGTGTCCCCCAGCCCCCGTGTCCCCGTGTCCCACAGCCCGCGGGGCTCCCCGTGTCCCCCCATGTCCCCCTGGCCGCCCCCGGGCTCCTGCCGGGGGTCTCAGCGCCGGAGAGCCCCTGAGCGGGCAGGTCTCTGGGCAGTGTCACCGTCGTGTGCCCCCTTGTAGCCCCCCATTCCCGTCCGTCCCCGTGCCCCCGGTGGCGCCGTTGTCACCGTTGTCACCGTTGTCACCCGACTCCCTCCCGCGCCACGGTCTTGGCGCCGAGGGCGGTTTTTGGCTCCCGGTGGCCGCTGCGGGTGTTTGCGGAGCCGCGCTGGGCTCGGTCCCACCGGCCCCGCACCCGCAGTCCCCGCCCGTCCTCCCGGTGCCCCCCGGTCCCCTCGCAGGGTGCCCTGGCCTGGCTCCGGGGGGCACCCGGTGCCTCCCTGTGCCTCCCTCCTTTTTTGGGCATGTTGCTGCGGGGTTATTTTGAGTGAATTCCAGTTTATTTTTACCGGCTCTGCCTCTCTGCCACCCCCCGGGGCTCGGCCGTGTCCCCAGGCCACCAACACCCCCGGGGCGGGCGGGCCGGGGGTGGCTGCAGGTGCCCCGTGGCCACCGAGGAGCCTCCGGTGGCACCGGACGTGTCCCGCGGAGTGTGACCCCTCGAGGACCCCGGGGTGGGGGTCAGGGTGCCCCCAACGCTGCTGTCCCGGGTGGGGCAGTCGGGGAGTGTGGGGGGGTCCGAGTGCGCGTCCCCCCCGCACCCACCCGTGCACTGAGCTGCGGCCGAGCCCTGGGAACGGTGCCGGGGCAGCAGCTGCTCGGCCGGGCTGGCACCGCCCGGGCACGGGGACATCGATGTGGGCGTGTGACAGCTCCGGGGGTGCTCCGGGGGGGCTCTGGGCACCTGACGGGGGTCTGTGCCCTGCCAGGCTGCTGGTGGGGGCCCCCCAGGCGCAGGCGCTGCCCAGCCAAGGTGCCAACCGGACCGGGGGGCTCTTTGCCTGCCCGCTGACCCTCGAACTCTCCGACTGCTGGCGGGTGCCCATCGATGAGGGAGGTGAGCTGCGCTCCCCGGGGGGGTGCAGGGGGTCCTGGGGGGCTTCCCGGCGGGGCTGACCCTGCCCCCTGTGCCCACAGTGGACCCGCAGCGGGAGAGCAAAGAGAACCAGTGGCTGGGGGTGAGCGTGAAGAGCCAAGGAGCCGGAGGGAAGATCGTGGTGGGTGCCGGGGCGGGAGGCGGAGGGCACCGGCACCCCTAGGGGAGGGGGCCCGGCGCTCCGTGACACCTCTGGGTGCCTCCAGACCTGTGCCCACCGGTACGAGGTGCGGCACCGGGTGCGGCAGCCGCTGGAGACGCGGGACGTGATCGGGAGGTGCTTCGTGCTGAGCCAGGACCTGCGGGTGCGGGACGAGCTGGACGGCGGCGAGTGGAAGTTCTGCGAGGGGCGGCCCCAGGGCCACGAGCGCTTTGGCACCTGCCAGCAGGGCCTGGCGGCCGCGTTCAGCCCCGACCGCCGCTACGTCCTGCTCGGGGCCCCCGGCACCTACAACTGGAAGGGTGAGGAGGGCCGGGAACCCCCCGGAGGGGCGAGGGGCTGCCCAGGAGAGGGGGGGGTGAGGTGTGGGTGGGTGTTCCTGCTCGGAGCCCCCGGCATGTGCAACTGGAAGGGTGAGGGGGCAGCCCAGACCCCCCGTCAAGGGGTGAGGGGCTGCCCGTGTGAGGGGCTGTGTGTGGGCTGGGGGGGGGATGTTCCTGCATTGGGCCCCCAGCACCTACAACTGGAAGGGTGAGGAGTTGGCCCGGACAGCCCCGGGGAGGGGTGAGGGGCTGCCCGGGAGGGGGGCGTGGGGGTGTGAGTGCAACCCCTGCCTGGGCAGGTGGGTCGGGTGTGCACGTACGTGTGCAGGTGACCCTGCACGTGGAGCAGCTCAACCAGAGCCCCCCGGAGCATGAGGGATCCCTGGGGGTCCCCCGGAGTCCCTGAGGGTCCCCCTGGTGTCCCCTGCCCAGCCCCCTCACCCCGGGCTCCCCCAGGGACCCTGAGCACGGAGCATCTCAACCAGAACTCGCCGGTGCTGAAGGGTCCCTGGGGGTCCCAGTGGTGTTCCCGGGGGTCCCCCCGGTGGTCCCCGTGGTGTCTCCCCTCACCCCGGCCCCCGCAGGGACCCTGCGCGTGGAGCAGCTCAACCAGAGCTCTCTGGACCTGCTGCGCCCGGACGCCGGTCCCTTCGAAGCGGGGGGGGAGAAGGACCAGGACCCCTCGCTCATCCCCGTGCCCGCCAACAGCTACTTCGGTACGGGGGGGCCCGGCCCGGGGGTCCCCCCCGGCTGCCGCGGCCCCTGCGCCCCCCCCGTGCCCGCCCTGACACCCACCCCCCACCCCCAGGGCTGCTCTTTGTGACAAACATTGAGAGCGCTGCCCCCGACCAGAGGGTCTTCCGGACCCCCCAGCCCGGCGAGAGGGTCCCCGGCGCCGCCCCAGACGTGGCCCACAATAGCTACATGGGTTCGTGTGTGCCACGGCTGTGCCACGCGTGTGCCATGTGTGTGCCATATGTGTGCCGTGTGTGCCCTCCCTGCAGCGTGTCCTGTGCCGTGTCACCCATGTCACCTGTGGGGACAGACCCAGGCTCTGAGGGGCCCTGTGGGAGCCTGTGTGCACACACGTGTCACCGTGCACAAACGTGTGCCTGTACAGACATGTCCCCTTTATCACATGTCCCCATGCACGCGTGTCATTCTGGACATGTGCCCCCCAAACACACACGTCCCCCCAGCATACATTTGTCCCCAGTCCTGGGGATCCCCCTGTCCCCCCTCACATCCATGTCCCCAAACATGCCTCTCTCTCTCTCTCTCTGTACACACGTCCCCCCCCGCACACGCAGCCGTGCACATGTGTGGCCACAGCCCCCGCTGCACACCCCCACCCCTCCTGTGTCCATCCCCCAGACCTCCCACCCCTGTCCCTCCCATTCCTTGTCCCTGCAGCCCTGTCCCCCAATTCCCATGTCCCCAGTCCCTGTTCCCCCATTCCTGTCCCCCCCCCCCCCGTCCTGTGTCCCGTCGCTGTGCCCGGGCTGTGTTGGGGGCACTGCCAGGCTGGGGGAGGGTGGACAGAGCTCGAGGGGGGGGAACAGAGCCCTGGGGGGGGATCCCCGAGCCTGGCGTGGCCCCCAACACCCCCCATCCCCCCGCTTGTCCCCCCGGAGATGTTTCTGCATGGGGGGGTGCACGGTTTTGGGGGGGCGGCTGAAGCCTGGCTGGGGGCTCGGGGGGCTGCGGGGGGGCTCAGGCGGCCGTGGGGGGCTGCGGGGGCTGCACTCTGCAATAGCTGCATGTGGGGAAGGGGCTCCCCCTTCTCTCTCAGCCCAAAATCTGCTGCTCTGGTCCCAAAATCTGCCCTTTTTCCCCCCAAACCTTCCCTTCTGGCAATGCTGGGGGGGGCTGCTCGTCCCTCCCCCCACGCCCCCAAAAGGCTCAACCCCCTACCCAAGTTGGTGGGACCCCAAATCCTGCCCTCCCCAGGCAAGAAAAGCAGGGACACTGAGGCACATGGGCCCCCCATTCCCACGGGGGAATCCCCCCATTCCCACGGGGATCCCAGAGGGGTCGAGCAGAGAGAGAGGGTGGGACGGACGGACGGACGGACAGGGCGGGCATTCCGGGGGCCGGGTGGGCACCGACCCTCTCCCCCGCTCCCCGCAGGGTTCTCAGTGGACTCGGGCGCGGGGCTGACGCGCCGGGGGGGGCTGAGCTTTGTCACCGGCGCCCCCCGCGCCAACCACACCGGGGCTGTCGTGATCCTGCGTCGCGACAGCGCCAACCGCCTGGTGCCCGAGGCGGTGCTGCCCGGGCCGCAGCTCAGCTCGGCCTTCGGGCACGCCCTGGCCGTGCTCGACCTCAACAGCGACGGGTGAGCGCGGGGGGACCCCCGGGAGATCCCCCCGGGCGGAGTCCAACCCCTGTCCCTCCATCCCCGAGGGCCCCCAGGCTGAGGACCCCACCCGTTCCCAAGGACCCCCCAATCCCTGAATCCCCCAAAATCCCAGTGCCGTGTCTGGGGGCACCGGGACACTTTGGGGGTCACCCAGGAGGTGACAGACCCGTGTTCCCTCAGGTGGATGGACCTGGTGGTGGGGGCCCCCCACTTCTTTGAGCGCCAGGAGGAGATCGGGGGGGCTGTTTATGTTTACATCAACCCCGGGGGGCTCTGGGACGCTGTGACCCCCCTGAGGCTCAACGGCACCCGGGGGTCCATGTTCGGCACCGCCCTGAGCACGGCCGGGGACCTCAACCATGATGGCTTTGAGGGTGAGGGGCCTTGGGGGATATTTGGGGGATTTTTGGGTCCCCAGGGGCTGAGGATGGTGGAACTGCGGACTTTGACCGTGATGGATTTGAGGATGGGGGGTTTGGGGGAATTTGGGGTCCCCAGGGGCTGGGGGTGGTGCCATTTTGGAACACAAACAGGACGGTTTTGATGGTGAGGGATTTGGGGGGCTCTGGATACCCCAAAAACTGGGGATGGTGGCCCCAGGACCTCAACCATGACGGATTTGAGGGTTTGGGGTGCAGGGGGTGGGGTTGGGGTCTCCAAGGGCTGGGGATGGTGGCACTGGGGGCTGTCCCCCCGAGAGGGTCCCGGGAGGGCTCTGTGCCCCCCCCAGCTGCCGTTGCCCCCCCAGACCTGGCCGTGGGAGCCCCTTTCGACGGCGCCGGCAAAGTGTTCATTTACCACGGGAGCGCCCTGGGCATCGTGGCCAGGCCGGCCCAGGTGAGGGGGGGACGGTGGGGAGGGGGCTGCCCCGGCAGGGCCCCCGCGGGGTCTCCTGTCACCTACCGGTGTCCCCAGGTCCTGGACGGGGAGGCCGTGGGGGTCCCAACCTTCGGGTATTCCCTGTCGGGGGGGCTGGACGTGGATGGGAACCTGTACCCCGACCTGCTGGTGGGGTCCCTGTCCGACACCGTGGTGCTCTACAGGTGAGACCCCATCCCTGGGACCCCCGGGACCACCTCTGGGAGCCCCCGGCCCCGAGGACCCCCGAGACTGAGCATGCCCCCCAGTTCCCAAGGATCTCAATCCTTTGGAGCTCCCCATCTCCCAGGACCCCCATTCCTGAGGAGTCCCCAACCCTGCACTGCCTCCACCTCCAGACCCTCCTAGTCCCAAGGATTGGATCCCCAAGGACCCCCCACATCCCTGGGCATCCCCCCCTCCCTGAGAACCCTCCATCCCTGAGGACCCCCACCCCTAAGGACCCCCCGTCCCAGGGCTCCCTCAACCCCTCCCAGAGCATCCCCCGCCCTGGGGGTCCCTGCAGAGCTGGGGGTGCCCTCAGGAGGGGGGGCCCGCTCTGGGATCCCCTTTGCCCCCGGCAGGGCCCGCCCGGTGGTCCACGTGTCCCGGAACGTGTCGCTGCTGCCCCCCACCATCGACCTGGAGCAGAGCAACTGCCGCCACTGGGAGGGCGTCTGGTGGGTGTCCCTGAGCCCCCCCGCACCCCCTCCCTGGGCATGGGCCCAGGGGGCCGCTGCCCCCCGTCTGACCCCGTGCCCCCCCAGCGTGGAGGTCCGAGCCTGTTTCAGCTACACGGCCAGTCCTGCGAGCTACAGCCCCCGCCTCGGTGAGACCCCCCGAGGGACCCCGGCCCCGGGAGCGTCCCAGCCCCGAGGATCCCCGGCCCCAAGGCCCCCCAATCCCTGCTGCCTCCCCTCCCTGAGGCCACCCCTCCCTGTGTCCCCAGAGCTGGAGTTCGTGCTGGACGTGGACACCGAGCGCCGGCGCCGTGGCCAAGCCCCCCGGGGGTCGTTCCTGGGCCGTGGCCCCGCAGACCCCGAGCACCAGCTCTCCGGGACCCTGGAGCTGCCCCGGCAGCACAGCCGGGCCTGCGTCACCCCCACCTTCCAGCTGCACGTGGGTGCTCGGCCTCGCCCCATCCTCATCCTCAGCATCCCCATCCTTGTCCCCCTCCTCAGTCCCACCCCCACGGCCCCCTCCAGCTGTGCCAACACCTCCCAGGTCCCTGAGTGACCCCTGACCTTCCTCCCTCTGTCCTCCTCCTCCTCCTCTTTGTGTCCCTCCAGGACGGGATCCGGGACAAGCTGCGGCCCATCGTTGTCACCTTGGCCTATGGGATCCGGGGGCCTGGGGGGCACCGGGGGGGGCGGGGGGCTCTGCTGCCCCCCCTTTCCCCCGCGCTCAGCCCCCACCAGCCCAGCACCCACCGTGCCGAGGTGGGCACTGCCAGGGACCACCGGCCTGGGGGGCCTGTCCCTCCCAGGGGTACCTGGGGTGTCACCCCTGTCCCACCTGGGGGCCACCTGGAGAGTCCCCCAGTCCAACCTGGGGGTTACCTGCAGTGTCCCCCCCATATCCCAGGGAGTGCCCTGTTCTACTCGGGGGTCACCTGCACTGTCCCCTGTGTCCCCAGGGGCACCCCATTCCACCCGGAGCCCCCCCCGCAGTGTCCCCCCAATCCCTGGGGTTGCCCCGTCCCCCCCGGAGCCCCCCTGAGTGCCCCCCCGTGCCCCCCCAGGTGCATTTCCTGCGCCAGGGCTGCGGGGATGACAAGATCTGCCAGAGCAACCTCCGGCTGCACTTCCAGTTCTGCGCCCGCCGCGGTGACAGCGAGTTCCTGCCCCTGCCCAGGTGGGGGGCCGGGGGGCAGTGCCCACCCTGAGGGGATGGGGGTGTGGGGCGGATGGTCCTGGGGGTGTGGGATGGTTCTGGGGGTCCAGGGTGTGTGGGATGGTCCCGGAGGTGTGGGACGGTGGCTGTGCCCCCGCAGGGCCGAGGATGGCACTGCCATCTTCGCCATGAGTGACCAGAAGGACGTGGCCCTGGAGGTCCTGGTGACCAACGAGCCGTCGGACCCGGCGGAGCCACAGCGGGACGGGGACGACGCCCACCAGGCCCAGCTCACGGCCACTCTCCCCCCGGAGCTGCCCTACGCGGCCCTGCGGCCCGACGAGGGCGGGGGGCTCGGGGTGAGGGGCCCGGGGCGGGGGGACGGGGGTGTAGGATGGGGAGGGGGCTGGGGGTGTGGGGTGTGGAGGGGGCTGGGGGTGTAGGATGGGGAGGGGGCTGGAGGTGTAGGATGGGGAGGGGGCTGGGGGTGAGGGGTGGGGAGGGGGCTGGGGGTGTGGGGTGGGGAGGGGGCTGGGGGTGTGGGCTGTGATGGTCCTGGGGGTGCGGCGGGCCGGGGGTGCCCGCAGGGGGGACTCAGTCCTGTGCCCCCCAGGACAAGCCCGTGCTGTGCCTCGCCAACCAGAACGGCTCCCAGGTGGAGTGTGAGCTGGGGAACCCCCTGAAACGCGGAGCACAGGTGGGCGCAGCCCCCTCCCCAATGCCTCGCCCCCCCCGCCCCCTGGCCCGGCCCCAGCGCTCCCCCCTGTGCCCCCCCTGTGCCCCAGGTGCGGTTCTTCCTCATCCTCGGCACCTCAGGAATAACCATCCACACCTCGGACCTGGCGGTGGAGCTCGCGCTGTCCACGTGAGCGGGGGGCTGGGGTGGAGACCCCCGGGGGGAGTGTGGAGACCCCCGGGGGGGTGTGGAGAGCCCGGGGGGGGGTGTGGTGGAGCCCAGGGGGGTTTGGAGACCAGAGGCCTGGGGGGTCTGGGGGCTGGAGCACCCAGGATTTAGGGCACGGCGGCCCCAGGATTTGGGGTGAAGCCGCGGGGGCTTTGGGGGTTGGATCCGCAGGGTTGGGGGAGTTCAGCCCCCCGCGCTGGGCTCTGGGCACGGCACGGGGGGAGTTTGGGTGCTGCCCCCCCCGACCCCCGACCCCTCCCCAGGATCAGCGAACAGCCGGGGCTGGAGCCGGTGGTCGCTCGTGCCCGGGTGGTCCTCGAGCTGCCCCTCTCCGTGACGGGGTAAGTGGGGGTTGAGACCACCCCAGGACCCCCCCGGGGCCCCCTCCGGGACCCCCTTGACCCCTGTCTGTCCCCCCCCAGAGTGGCCGTGCCCCCCCGGCTGTTTTTCGGGGGGGAGGTGCGGGGGGAGAGCGCCGTGCGCAGGGAGAGCCAGGTGGGCAGCGCCGTCAGCTTCGAGGTCACGGTGAGTCCCCCGCCGAGACCCCCATGGGAGAGCCGGGAGTGGGGCGGGGGTGTCTGTGGGCTGGGGGGCTTCATGTGGGGGCATTTATGGGGTGGGGGGTATTTGTGGAGCGGGGGGTCCATGTGGGTGGATCATTTTGGAATGGGGGGTTTTTTGGGGGGGTGTCCATGGGGGGGTGCCTTTAGGGTGGGGGGCCCATGGGGGGGCATTTATGAGGTGGGGGGTGTTTTGGGGTCTGGGGGGGTCCATGTGAGTGGCATTGACGGGGTGGAGGGTGTTTGTGGGATGGGTGGCACTCATGGGGTGGGGGTCTCGTGCCCCCTCCAGGTGTCCCACAGGGGACAGGCGCTGAAGACTCTGGGCTCTGCCTTCCTCACCCTGCACTGGCCCCACGAGCTGCCCAACGGAAAGTGGCTCCTGTACCCCCTGAGCCTGGAACTGGGCACCCCCCCCGTGCCCTGCAGCCCCTCTGCCAACCCCCTGCGCCTCGCCCTGGTACGGCCACAGGGCTGGGGGTGTCTGGGGGGGTTTGGGGGTGCCTGGGGGGTGCCAATGGGGGTGCCCAGGGGCAGCCAAGGGGTGCTCAGGAGTGCCCGGGGGTGCCTTGGGAGTGTCCAGAGGTGTCTGGGGGTCTCTGGGGGTGCCCAGATGTGCCCGAGCATCGCTGCTGCCCCCCTTTTACTCCCCTTCAGGAGCCACTGGGACAGGGTGACCCCCCCCAGGCATCCCCCCCCCGGTCCTGGTGGGTCCCAGCACCCTCAGAGAGGAGGAGGAACGTGACACTGGTGAGTGGGGGAACACCCGCTTTGGGGGGCCCTGCTCAGGGGAGTCCTGCTTTGGGGGGGCCTGTTCAATGGGGGGGCACTCTGAGGATGCCCTTCCTGGAGTGCCCCTATTCCAGCACGCACAGCCCTGGGGTGCCCCTGTTCCCGGGGTGCCCCTGCTCTGGCACATGCAGTCCTGGGGTCCCCCCACCCTGGGGTCCCGTTTCAGGCTGCAGTGTGACAACCCCCCTTCCCCCATTCCCGGGGTCTCCCCTCATTCCCGATGTCCCGTCCCCCCAGGACTGTGCCCGAGGCACTGCCCGCTGCCGCCCGTTCCTGTGCCCGCTGCCCACCCTGGAGCGCTCGGAGCTGCGGGCGCGGGGCCGCCTCTGGAACGGCACCTTCCTGGAGGTACCGGGGCTGCGGGGGGCGGGGGGGCAGCGATGGGTGGGAAGGGGGCTCAGCCCCGCCCGGACTCCCCCTGTTCCCACCAGGAATTCCTGGATGTCTCCTCGCTGGAACTGATCGTCCGTGCCGAGGTTTCCGTCACCTCCCCCAGCAAGAACCTGGTGCTCAAAGATGCGACCACGCAGGTCTGACCCCTGCCCCGACCCCCCCGGGGCCCCCTCACTCCCCTAGACTCCTCTGACCCCCCCTGCCCCCCCAGATGTCGGTGTCCATCCACCTGGACCCGGGGCTGGCGGTGGCGGGGGTCCCGTGGTGGGTGGTCCCGCTGGCGGTGCTGCTCGGGATCCTCCTCCTGGCCCTGCTGGTCCTCGGGCTCTGGAAGGTGAGGGACGGATCCCCCTGACCCCCCCGGCCCCCGTGACCCATCCCCCTGTCCCCTGACCTGTCCCCCGGTGCCCCAGGTGGGGTTTTTCCGCCGTGCCCGCCGTGCCCCCCCGGCCGTGCCGCAGTACCACGCCGTGCGGATCCCGCGGGAGCAGCGGCGGCACCTCCTCGAGGGCAGGATGGGCACGATCCAGAGGCAGGAATGGGCCGCCAGCCCCGCCGAGCCCCCGGACGGACGCGGGACCCCCAGCTCCGCATAGACCCCCCCCCCTGTGAAATGGGGGGTGGGCACGGGGGGCACGGACACGGGGTATGGGGTGTGGAACATGGGATATGGGATACAGATATGGGATACAGGACATGGGTATAGGATATGGGATATGGGACATGGACATGAGATATGCGATATGGGATATGGGACACGGACACAGACATGGGATAAGGGACATGGACACAGGATATGAAGCACGGAATATGGACATGGACATGGAACATGGATACTGGATATGGGACACAGGACATGGACATGGGATACGGGACATGGAACTCGGGATATGGAACATGGGACATGAAACATGGGACACAAACAGGGGACACAGGACATGGAACACGGGATTGTCCGCCCTGGCCGTGCTCTGGGGATGGCAGCAGGAACAGGGGACATGGACATGGACACAGAGCCTGGGACATGGAACCTGGGACATGGGATTTCTCGCCCTGGTTGTGCCCTGGGAAGGTCCCAGTGAGGCACCGGCTGTGCTGGAGCACCTGGGAATGTTTGTCCTGGGATGGGGCCATCGGGCCCATGGGGCACTTTGGCCCCACAGGGTCAGTTTGGTCCCAGGGGTCACTTCAGCCCCACATGAAGGGTTTGGCCCCACACGGGGTCTCGACCCCCCGGGCTCAGCTCGGCCCCACAGCGACGTTCACCCCAATAAAAGGTGCTGTTCCCCCACCGGGCCTGAGTCCTTCACAGCCTGGGGAGAGTCACAGGGTAGGGGAGGGGGCTGAACCCCTGAAACTGCCCCTGGTTCATTGGGGGACTGGGGGGAGCCCCTAAAACGGCTCTTAAATTGGCCCCTGCGTTATTGGGGTGTTGGCGCGAACCCCTGAAACAGCCCCTGGCTCAGCAGGGGCTGCAGGAACCCCTAAAAATGGCCCTTAAATTGGCCCCTGGCTCACTGGGGGCTCATGTGGCTCCTGGCTCAGACACAAGAGCTAGTGGATATTCCAGCAGCCGAACTACACAGTTTTATTAATTAGATCGAATGAATTTGATCGGATCGATCGGGAAGTTCCAGGACCCCATGATGGGTGAGGGCACCCACGGGTGGTGGGTGCCGTGAGGCCGTGTCGGCGGCCGCCATGATGGGTGCGGGCAGCCGCCATGATAAGTGTGGCGGTGGTGCCACTATGATGGGAACGGCCGCTTCAACGGCCGGAACAAGCTGTATCTGCCGGGATAAGCGGGCACGTCCCGTTCCCACCGTCGTGAGTTGGACGCGGCCGCTCCCGGCCCGCCCTCATCTCCGGCTCAGAACGCAGGGGGTGCGGCCCTGCCCTTAGTCAAGATGGCGTCACGCCGCAAGGGAAAAGGAGGAACCTTTCACATGGCGGCGGCCTCCGCGGCTTCAGTGACGTCACGGGCTTCCGGAAGGGAAGCGGCCATGGCGGCCCGGGGATGCCGGGGCTGGTGAGGCCTGAGGGGGAGTGGGGGGGTCCGGGGGCTTGGGGAGGTCCGTGAGGGGTTCTGGGGGGGACACGGGGCTGGGGGACGGCGAGAGGGGCATGAAGCCCGGGCCGAGTCCCCCACGCGCCGACAGGTTGTGCCCTTTTCATCCCCTCCCCGTTATCACCCCCCGTGTCTCCTCATGGCCCCCACCCCCCTAGTCCGCCCCCCGAGGTGTGACAGGACTCCCCCCATGTCCTCATTGCCCCCCCCCCAAGCTCCACTGTCCCCCAAATCCCTCCCGAATCCACCCCCCTGGGGTGTGACAGCCCCGGGGGGGGGGGGGCACTGGGTGACGCACCCACCTGCTGTGACCCCCCCCAGAGACCCCCAGGAACCCCCCCAGGACCCCCCATGGCCACGAGTCGCTCGGAGGACGAGGAGTCCCTGGGGGGGACCAAAAGGGGCCCGGCCCCTCCCCCGGGGACTGTCCCCAAACGCCGCAGCTCCTCCAGGTACGGGGGGACGGGGGGGCTGGGGGAGCCTTGGTAGGGGTCGGGGGCGCTGAGAATGAGCCACAACGAGGGGGGGCTGGAGGGTCCCCTGGGGACTGTCCCCAAACGCCGCAGCTCCTTCAGGTACGGGGGGCTTTGGGGGTTTTGAGGGTCTTGGAGGGTCTGGGAGGGTCTTCGGAGGGGTCGGGGGGAGCTGAGAATGAGCCACAACAAGGGGACGCTGGGGGTGACATGGTAGGGGGTGGGGGTCGTGGGGGGGCACTGGGGGCTCCAGGCAGGGTGTGGGGCACAGGGGGGTCTGGTGCCATGTCTGTACCTCCCCGTGCCCCCCCGGCAGGTTCATCAAGAGGAAGAAGTTCGACGACGAGCTGGTCGAGAGCAGTCTGGCCAAGTCCTCGAGCCGTGCCAAGGGGGGCCCAGAGCCCCCCCCTCGGCCTGGCCCCGACCCCCCCCCAGGGGACAGGAGGAAGGTCAGGGCTGGGTGGGGACTGGGGGCAGCACAGGGACATTGGGGACACCCTGGGCCAGTGGGGGAGTCCCAGGGCAGGTGGTCCTGGGGCCGTCCTGGGGTCACTGGGGACATCTGGGTTCATTCAGGAGCCATTGGGGAGCCCCCAGAGCCCCCTGTGCCCCCCCATGCAGATGTCGAGGGTGGTGCCCCCCCCATGACCCCAGGCCTGGGATCCCCCCCATGGCTGTTGGGGACATCCAGAAGCCATTGGGGACATCGAGAAGCCATTGGGGACATCCCAGAAGCCTGGGGACCCCCAGAGACCCCTCTAAACCTGTCCCCCCCCAGGTGTCGAGGGCAGTGCCCCCCCCCGCGGCCCCCGGGCCCCCCCCCGGGCTGCCCAAGAGGCTCAAGAAGAGCAAGCAGAGCCCGGCGGTGCCGCGGGACCTGGGCCGCTGGAAACCCGCCGACGACCTGCTGCTCATCAACGCCGTGCTGCAGGTGGGCTGGGGGGCTCAGGGACCCCCTCACCCGGTGGGGGTTTGGGGAGACCCCCAGACCCTTCCCCTGACCTGGGGGTGTTCCCAGACCAACGACCTCACCTCGGTTCACCTGGGGGTGAAGTTCAGCTGCCGCTTCACCCTGAGGGAGATCCAGGAGCGCTGGTACGCGCTGCTCTACGACCCCGTCATCTGCAAGTGAGGGGGCTCGGGGGGCTCGGGGGGGATCAGGGGGTCTGTGGGGAGAGCCGAGGGAGCCCTGAGGGAGATCCAGGGATGCTGTTCTACGACCCCCCGGCAAGCGAGGGGGAACCGGGGGGCTCGGGGGGGATCCAGGGGTCTGTGTGAGGGGGAACCGGGGGTCCTGGGGGGCTCGGGGGGGTCTCAGGTGTCCCCAGAGGAACCGGGATGTCCCCAGGGGGTGGTTTCAGGTGTCCCTGAGGAGCGTCTCAGCCCTCCCTGGGGGTCTGGGTCGTCCTTTGGGGTCTCACCTGTCCTTGGCAGAGTCTCATATCTGGGCTGTCCTTGGGGGTCTCTGGGGGGTCTCCCCCACGCTGGGGGTCCCTGGGGGTCTCACCCCTGGGTCCCCCAGACTGGCCTGCCAGGCCATGCGCTCGCTGCACCCCGAGGCCGTGGCCGCCGTGCAGAGCAAGGTCCTGTTCAGCAAAGCTGAGGAGCAGCTGCTCACCAGGGTCCCCTCGGTGAGTGGCCCCAAACGGCCCCAAAGCATCCCCAAATGTCCCCTGACCCCCCAGCTGCTCATCAGGGTGGGACTGGGGACAGTGGGGGGGTTCCCAAGTGTCCCCTCCTGGCCCCTCCTGTTGTGTCCCCTCGCATCCCTCCATGTCCCCTTGGGTTTCCACGTTTCCCCTTGTGTCTCAAAGTGTCCCCCCACATCCCCCTCATGTCCCCTGTCCTCCCCAGACCCCTCAGCCCTCCCTGGAGACCTTCCAGGACCTGCTGATCCGACACCCCGAGGTGTTTTACCCTTCAAGGACCCCCAAGGCCCTGCAGCTGCACTGGCAGCTCCTGCGCCAGTACCACCTGCTGCAGGACCAGACAGGTGAGGGGGGGCCTGGGGGGCACTGGGGGGGCCTGGGGGGTCACCAGCCCCTCACCCTCCCCTCCGACCCCCCAGTGCAGCCCCTGCCCAAGGGGGACCAAGTGCTGAACTTCTCGGACGCCGAGGAGATGGTGGATGACGGGAAACTCAGGTGGGGGGGCTTGGGGAGGTCTGGGGGGGCTTTGGGGGAGCGGGGGGAAGTAGGAGGTCAAGGGAGGGACTGGGCGATGAAGGGAAGGGTTTTTTGTGGGGGTAGGGAGGTCAGGTGAGGTTTGGGGGAGCTCAAGGGAGAGTTTGGGGGGATGGGGGTGAAGGGAAGGTTGGGGGGGGCTGGGGGTGTTGGGAGCTCGAGGGTTTGGGGGGCACAGGGAACTCAAGGGAGGGTTTGGGGGGACTGAGGGAGGGTTGAGGGGGCTGGGGGCTGTTTGGGGGGGCTGGGAGGGGGACAGGGCCCCCCTTGGAGAGTTCAGGGTGTCCCAGGGAGCCCCAGTGATATTTTTGGGGGGGCTGGGGTCCTGGGGGGTGGTCTCACCATCCCAACCCCCCTTCTCCTGGGCAGGGATGTGCGGGACGAAGTGCTGGAACATGGTGAGTGTCCCCCACCCTCCTGAACCCCCCTGAGCCCCCCTAAACCCCCAGGACCCCCGGGGAGGGGTCAGGTACCCCCCGGCCCCCCCAGGACCCCCTTTGCCCCCCCCCCAGAGCTGACGGTGGCGGATCGGCGGCAGAAACGGGAGATCCGGCAGCTGGAGCAGGAGCTGCACAAGTGGCAGGTGCTGGTGGATTCCATCACAGGTGGGCTGTCTGTCTGTCTCCCGCTGTCCCTCTGTCCCCCCCATGTCCCTCTATCCCTCCCATGTCCCTCTGTGTCCCTGGCATCTGTCTGTCCCTGGCATCTGTCTGTCCCTGGTGTCTCTGTGTCCCACTAACTCTCAGAGTCCCTCTGTCCCTCCCTCTGTGTCTGTGTGTCCCCCCTTGACCCCCACTGTCCCCCCATTCCAGGGATGAGCTCCCCGGATTTCGACAGCCAGACCCTGGCGGTGCTGCGGGGGCGGATGGTGCGGTACCTGATGCGCTCCCGAGAGGTAAAACACCCCCAAACCACCCCAAAATCACCCCCAAAACCTCCCCGGTACCTCGTGCGCTCCCAGGAGGTGGATCCAGAGCTGGGACACCCCAAAATATCCCCAACCCCCCAAATCCTCCCAGGGACCCCTCAAACCCCCCCAAATCTCCCCCCAAAGATCACCCTGGGCAGGGCCACCAAGGACAACCAGATCGACGTGGACCTGGCGCTGGAGGGCCCGGCCTGGAAGATCTCCCGCAAACAAGGTGGGGCTGGGGGGCTTTGGGGGAGTTTGGGGGGCAAGTTTGGGGGGCTTGGGGGGGGTCAGAGGGCTGCATCCCCCCCTCTCCTAACAGGGTTTACCTGCCAGGTGTCACCAAGGTCAACCCCCCCACACCCCTTAAACTTGGGGCCCCTCACGAGGGGGAGGTTCCTCTGCTCAGGCTTTGGGGGCCATTTGCAGCCCCCTCCAGGCCCCCCAACCCTGGGGCCCCCCTCCAGCCCCAAGGACCCCCCCCAGAATCAGGGACCCCCCTTGACAGAACCCCCCCACCAGAGGAGGTTCCTGTTCTTCTCTCTTGGGGGTTGGGCTCTTCTTTGGGGGCCATTCCTGGCCCCCTCCTGCCCCCCTCTCCCCACCTGGATCCCCTGAATCCCTGGAATTCCCCAGGGGTGATCAAGCTGAAGAACAACGGCGACTTCTTCATCGCCAACGAGGGCCGGCGCCCCATTTACATCGACGGCCGCCCCGTCCTGGGGGGCAACAAGTGGAAGCTCAACAATAACTCTGTGGTCGAGGTGGGGCTGGGGGGTCCTGTGGGGTCCCGTGGGGTCCCAGGGGGTCCTGGGGTGTCCCAGGGGTCCCACCAAGCCCCGCTTTGTCCCCCCAGATCGCCAGCCTGCGCTTTGTCTTCCTCATCAACCAGGACCTCATCGCCCTCATCAAGGCCGAGGCGGCCAAGCTGGCCCAGCAGTGAGGGGGGTGAGGGGGGATTGGGGTCCCAGTTTGGCACTGGGGGGGGTTGGGACCCCCCAGCACCCCCCCCATCCCAAACTGCTTCCAATAAAGTCATCACTACCCCTGGTGAGGGGCTGCTTGGGGCACCCCAAGAGCCAACTGGGACCCCCCCCAAAGATATTGGGGTGCCCCTCCCCCTTTACCTGGCCCAGGTGAGTTGGGGGGACACACACACAGAAACCCTCCCAACCCCCATCCCTGAATTCCTCCCCCCTCCCAAAAAAAAAATTTTTAAAGCTCAACATTTCATTGATTTGTTCCGAAGTTGTAATTAATTAAAGAGAAGAAAAAAAAACAAACAAAAAAATCAAACTTGGAAAAAAAACATGGAAAAAAGGGGGGGGGGCAGAAAAGTTGGGGACCCCCCCAGCCCTCCCCCATTTGGATTTACTGTCCTTGTTCCCAGGAATGTCTGGGATTTGCTCCCGGGTGTTGCTGTGAAGGGGATTTTGGGGGGGGGGGGAAGGAACTGGGATGGGAATGAAGGAAATTCCCCAAAGAAAATCCAGGGAAAAAGCTGAAATGTGCAGCTGAAGGGACCCCCCCCAATCCCAGCACACACAGAGAGGACCCCCCTCAGTCCCAGAGAGGTCAGAGGGGACACCCCAGATCCCACAGGAACATTCCAGATCCTGGGGGGACACAGAGGGGACACCTCAGATCCCAGAGGGTCTCAGGGAACATCCCAGATTTGGGGGAGACAAAGGGGACTCCCCAGTTCCCAGAGGAGAACATTCCAGATCCTGGGGGGGTCAGAGGCCCCTCCTCCCCCCGCTCCTCCTCGCTTCCAGCGCGAGGGATTTTTGGATGGAGAAGAAGGAGAAGGGGGGGGGGGCGATGGCAGCACTGGGGGGGTCCTGAGCCCCCAAATCCCGATGGGAGAACATGGAACAGACCAGGATGGGGGGGAGAAAGGGGTAAAAAGGAGGGGAGATGGCACAGAACGGGAATTGTAAACGTGGCTGGGACCCCTGTCAGGATCCCAGAGTTTTCCTCAGGAATTCGCTCCCTTGGGGTGGCTCTTGCGGGGTCTCCGTGGGGGGAGCCCCCCCCGGGGGGCTGGGGGGGGGCCCGGGGTCGGAGGGTTGCGGGGGCCAGGCCGGGTCCCGCTGTTGGGGGGCTCGGGGGGGCCGTTGTGCCGCGGGGTCGGGGCTCGGGGTCCTCCTTCCGCCCTCCGGATCCGCTGGGAAGGCTGGGAATGGAGGGGGTTGAGAACAGGGACCCCCCAAAACCCCCTCCCCTGGAACCTCAAATCCTGGGAATCTGAGAACCTCCAAACCCCCTCCCCTGGACCCCCAAATCCCGCTCTGGGAACACCTAAATCCTGAGAATCTGGGAAGGCTGGGAACGAGAGGGGGTGAGAACCCGGACCCCCCTCAAACACCCCCCCGAGCCCCCAATCCATAAGGCCGATCCATCCAGGGAACCCCCCGAGCCCCCCAGACCCCCCCACACCCTCTCCAGACCCACCTCTCGGGGGGGCCGGGGCCGTCCCCCCCCCGTGTCCCCCAGAGCCCCCTCGGGGGGTCCCGGGGCTTTCCCAGCCGTGCTGGGGGTGGGGGAGGCACTGGGGGGGCCCGGGGGGGCCCCGGGGGGGCCGGAGCTGCAGCGGGAGCGGCTGGAATAGCTGGTCTTGGGGTGGGACACTGGAACAGAGACAGCAGGGGAGGGGTCAGAGGGGCTGGGATCACTGGGATACCGGACAGGATCCTCTGGGAGCAGACGGAGGGCTCAGGTGAGTGACCCAGGAGCCCCCAGCCCACCTTGGCCGAAGCAGGTGATGCTCCTCTTGAGCCCCTCCAGGTCGCAGGTGAACCTGCCGGCCCTGCCCAGCTCCTCGTCGTACTTGCGCTCGCTCACAAAGTGCTGCCAAAAGCGGGGAAAAGGGGGGGATTTGGGCTGGGAACGGGAGCAGGGAACAGGGAGATCCTCCCAGTTCTGGGGTGGATGGGGGAGACCCTCCTGGTTCAGCCCAGGACAGGAGGGGTTTCAGGGAATTCAGGGAATGTGGAACTTTCCCCAGGTGTTGGGTGAAATCAGGATTTTACAAAACCACTTTAAATTCTGTTTGGAATCCAAAGTGTTTGGAATTCAAGGTGCCCCCCCAGGTGCCCCCGGGGCCCACCTTGATGTCAGCCCTGAGCTCCAGCAGCTGCTCCTCCGACATCCGCGCGGCCCCGTCCGTGAGTTTCCGCAGGGCCTCCGCCCTCCTCTGCCTCCCCACCAGGATCTCCACTGGGAAAACAGCCCTGGATCAGGGAAAAACCACCCCCCCGACCCCCCAGGCCCCTCCCTCGGGTAATTCCAGCTCCAAACAGGCACCAAACCAGAGGTGGAAGCTCCAGGAGGGACCTTGGGAGCAGCTCTGTCCCTTTGTCACCTTTGGAATTGGGTCTTTTCCATTAGATTTGTCCCCACTCTGTTGGGGAAATCCCATCAGCCCCCCTATCCCGAAAGGTGGGATTGTAGGAGAAACCCTGAAGGGAATTTCATGGAATTTTATGGAATGGTTTGGGTTGGGAGGGACCTTAAAGGTGAACAGAAAAGCTGTTTCCATCCCCAGGAATGTCAGGATTTTGGGAATTCCCACCCTCTGGGGAGGTTTGTAATAGCCATGATGGAGTCCTGAGGTGTTTGGGAATGATGGGAACAGGAGGGAAATCCTGGGAAAACCCCTCCAAGAACAGCCCCTTACTTGCTTCTGCCTTCACTTTGTCCATCTCGGCCAGCAAAGCCACTTCCCGGTCCATGAGGCTGCGCAAAACAGGGAAAAGGGAAGGGATTTAGTGCTGGAGAGGGCAGGGAAAGGCTCCGGGAGGAGGATCCAGCCGGGACACACCGGCAGGTGGAGCTGGAACCGCGGGAAGCGCCCGGAGAGCCCCGGATTGGGCTGGAATGGGGAGGGGAGAGGGGGGACAGGGAGGAACTGGGGGCGGGAGGAATTGGGGAGCAGGAACTGGGAGCAGAAAGTTGGGGACGGGAGGATGAACTGGGGAGCAGGAACTGGGAGCCCCACGGGGCACCTGGAGCTCACCTGGAGCCCTGCAGGGCCCAGCACGTGGATTCTGTAGTGCCTGAGGCCCTTGGGACACACGGGGGACACACGGGACACAGAGTGGGGACTCACAGGGGGGACACAGGGGGGACACCTGAGCAGGGCACAGCCCCAGGGCCTCAGGAGACTGAAATCCCCCCAGAACAGCAGCACCGAACCCTGGGCCAGAGTCATCCCAGAGGGGGGACAGAGACCCCTCGGGTGTCCCGGAGCCCCCTCAGGTCACCCAAAGGCCCCCCAGGGGAGGCAAAGCATCCTCAGGTGCCCCAGAGCCCCTTTAGGTGACCAAGAGCCCACTCAGGTCACCCCGAGCCCACCCAAGTGACCCCAAATCCTCTCAGGTGAGGAACAGCCCCCCAGGGAAGGCAGAACCCTCTCAGGTGCCCCAGAGCCTCCCAGATCTCCACATCCCTCTGCTCCCACTCCAGAGCCTTTCCCACCCATTCTCCCAGGTGCCAACAAACCCCAAAGGAATCCCAGTCCCCCCAGTCTGGCTTTGGGCAGGAACTGGCTCCCAGACAGACCCTGGGCCCCTCTAAGCCCCCCCTGCCCCCGTTCCTGGTTCCCACTGCTCCAGGTGAGTCAGGAATTCAAATCCAGCCCTTTAATTGGGCTCATTTCCCTTTTCATTCCCAACTACAAAAGCCCAAACCCTCCTGTCCCTGTTCCCCCCTCGGAGCCACCGGGGGACAGCGGGGTCAGCCCTTCATCCCTTGCCTTTTTTGAGGGAAAAATGTTGGAAAATGGGTAGAATGTTTAATTTAGTCCCTGTCTGAGGCACTGAAATACCAACCCCCCCTTCCCTGGGAGGGAGGGGGATCAATCTCCACAATTCCCTGGAACAGCAGCTCTGACATTTGGCTGCTTCTGGTGATTTATGGCTCCCTCCTCCTGCCTTTTTCCAGGGCAGGGAAGGGGCAGAGCCACGGGAATGAGGCTTCTCCCTGCTCCCAGGAATTCCCAGAGTGGCCACACCTGGATGTGCAGCACCCACAGGTGCCTCAGTGTCCCCTGGAAAGGGCAGGAATTCCGGGAGCTGGGGGAGAAAGGGGGAATGTGGCCTTATTTGATTAATTCCCAGCCCTTTCAGGCCATTCCCAGCCATTCCCAGAGTGTTCACACCTGGATCTTCCCCTCCCACAGGTTCCTTTTCCCTCCTGCCCATCTCTGTGTGAGCATCCAGAATTCCCGGATCTGGAGAAGGGTGGGAATGTGGGTTAATTAAATATTCCTTAATTAATGATTAATTATAATGCAGGAACAGTCTCAGGGCCTCATCCTGTTCCCAGGATTCTCTGTTAGCCAGGAATTGAGACCAGGATTAATCCCTGTTAACCAGGAATTAGTACCAGGATTAATCCAAGGAAAGGATGTTTTCCAGACCTGGAAGAAGGTTTTTTTACACGTGGAATTTGTGTGGAGAGGTTAAAAAATCCTTAAACCCCCACTCTAATAATATAGAATTTCGATAATAATATAGTTAATGTTATATAATATAGATAATAATACATTGTAGGTAATTATAAGATATATTATCAAAATTATTATTATAATATATTCTGTGTATTATATATAATAATATGTAAATATATAATTATATAATAAAGACAATATAGCTGGGAAAAGGCTGGAATTCCCTCTGGAAGTTCTCCAGGCTCAGCCCAGAGACCCCAAAACCCCCTGGGCACCTTCGACCCAAACCCTCAGGGAAATTCCAGACTCATTGATTCCCATTTTTAACTGATTTTAAGCTGATTTTAAGCCTGGAAAAAAACCCCACTTCCTTCAGGGAAGCATTTTCCGGTGGGAATGTTGCAGGAGCACAAGGACAAGGCCACAATGAGCAGGCAAAACTGGCTAAAAGGTTTTAAATTCTTGGTTTTAGTAATTTAAAACTGTCAGGTTTTTGACACAAACAGCTTTTGACACCAAGAGCTGCTGAAATCCCGGGATGCGGGAGCAGGATTTCAGCTCCTTGTCAACCCAGGGCAGGGGTTTATGGATATTTTCTTGTTTTATGGATATTTTCTTCCCCCAAACCCAATATTTGTGCAGTTTCTCAAGGCTGGGTTCAATCAGCTGCTCCAAACATCATCCCCAGCACAAACCCAGCCCCAATTAAACCCCAGCACTAATTACACACAAAGGGCACAGTTTAAGCCTGGATTAAAATGGGAAAACAAGGCTTTTGATGAGTTTTTAGACCTCCCTGGTGACATCAAATCAAGCCTAATTTAAGGGTTTCAAATGGGAATGTTTGTTCCTCCAGGGACAGGCAGGAGCAGGCCACAAGATCCCAAAACTTCTCCTTCCACATCCCAAAATTTCTCCTTCCAGCTCAGCTCAGAGGGCAAACCAAGGCACAAACCTGGCTGGTTTTAGTCATGGATTCATGGAATGGTTTGGGTTGGGAGGGACCTCAAAGCTCGTCCAGTCCCACCCCCTGCTGTGGGCAGGGACACCTCCCACTATCCCGGGGGATCCAACCTGGCCTGGGACACTCCCAGGGATGGGAAATCCTCTGGAAAATCCATCCCAGCCCCTCACAGCCTCATAGGCTGGAATTTCATCCCAAAATTCCATCAAAATCTCCCCTTTTTCCAGATGGAAGCCCCTCACCCCTTGTCTCTGTCCGTCTGCAGCTCCTGGAGCCCCCAGGGAAGGAAAATGCCCTTTAAAGGTGATTCCAACCCAAACTGTTCCATGATCCCAGGCAAATAAACAGGAAGAGCTGCTCAAGCCTGGAATAATTCAGGGAAAATCATGGAATGTTTTGGGTTGAGAAGGAGCTTAAAGCCCATCCAGCTCCATGGGCAGCGATACCTCCCACCATCCTGGGACACTCCCAGAGGGTGGTGCAGCCAAAACCCCGCTGGACAACCAATTCCAGCCATCCCAGGAGCAGGATCCATCCCCAAACTCCCACCCACCTGCTCTGGAGCTCAGCAAAGACCTGCTTCATCTTCCTGATGGACGTGTCCATCTCCTCCTTGAGCAGGGCCCGGTACCGCGCCAGGGACACGGAGCAGCGCTGCAGGTCCTTCACCGACTTCTCGATGTTCGACCCTGGAACGGAGGGAACGGGCAATTCCAGCCTCTGGATCCTTCCCACGGGCACGGGAAGGGATGTTCCAGGAACAGGGATCAAATGCAGCCCTGGGCTGGGTTTGGGCTGGAGAGGAGCAAAGCCCAGGCTGCTCCAGAGCCCAGCACGAGGGAGAGCAACGGTTTGTCTGGGAAGGGAATTTCATGGAATTATGGAATGGTTTGGGTTGGGAGGGACCTTAAAGCTCATCCAGTTCCACCTCCACCGGGACATCTCCCACTATCCCAGGTGGCTCCAACCCGGCCTGGGACACTGCCACGGATGGGAAATCCATGACTTCTCCGGGACTGAATGTCTGGACTCTCCAAGGGATGAAAATCCTCCCACCAGGAGGTGACAGGACCCGTCCTTTCGGGTCCCGGGGGCAGAGTTTGGCTCCTGCCAAGTGAAATTACGGATCCTGTTCCACCATTCCCTGAACTGCACCCCCGATCCCCCCCAGCACAACCTCCCCGGTCACCGGGGGGTCTCCAGGTCCCTCCTGTCCCTCCCTGTTATTGTCACATCCCAGATTTGGACAAAACACCCCAAAAGGGGGGGGAACCCCCTCCAGGGCTGTCACTTGTTGTCACTCGTTGTCACAGCCCCGGCCTGACCCTTCACAGGTTCTCAGGAACAGCCCCGGGATGTGACGGGACGTGGGGGGAGGGATGAGCTCTCCCAGCTCCAGAGAAAGTGCTGGAATTCCTGCTGTGCTGGGAGGAGGAGGAAGGACCTGGACTACGGGAGATGCCCCTGCCCAGGGCAGGGGGGGGCACTGGATCACCTTCAGTGCCCCTCCCAACCCAGACCATTCCATGAATCCATGGCTTTATGGTCTTCCCTCAATTATCCAAGGTTTGAGCAGCTTTTCCTGTACTTTTATGGATATTTGACATATATTTTATGGATATCTGACATATTTTACAGACTGATGAGTTCCCCTCCCAGTCTGGCCTAACCAAGCCCAGCTCCCAAGGCCTCTCCTCCTCCAGGAGCGGCTCCAAACCCTCCAATCCCTCCACATTCCCAAGGTTTTGTGTCCTTACCCATTTTCCTGCCTGGGGGTGACACCGGAGCCTCTTCCCGGGGGTCGGAGTGGGGGGTGGGCAGAGCCCTGGGGGGGGGGATGGGGAGCCTTGGGGGGTCAGGGCCGGACAGTCCATTCCTTAGGCCGGGCTCTGCTGGGGAAAGGCAGACTCTGAGCCAAAAAAATCCAGCAAAAAACGGGATTTGGGACCCAAAACCAAGGAAAACACCTCCCAAAAAAAAAAAAAAAACAACCAGAAAATCAAGGCTGTGCTGAAAAAATACCTGGAAAAATTAGGATTTAGGACCCAAAAACATCCCTCAAAAACCCCACCAGAAAATCAGGATTTAGGACCCGAACCCAAGGGAAATCCCCAAAATGCCCTTCAGCCCCTCCCCACCATTCCCATTCCTGGTTTTCCAGCACTGACCATCCACTTCCCTGCCATCCATCGACATCCCATCCAGGCCCTCGCTCAGGGAATCCACAGATTCCGTGTCCTGGGCGCAGCCGTTCACGTGGAATCCGTTCATCCCCCCCTTCTCCCAGTTTCCCGGGGTCTCCTCTCCAGGAGGAACTGGTTTTCCAGGGGCTGGGAGGGCAGAGCTGGAGCCACTGGGAAGTTTGGGTTTGGGTTTCTTCTTTTTGTTCTGGGAATTTTGGTGGGGGGGGAAAAATACGTTAGTTGTGATTCCTGAGGGGATTTGTGATTCCTGGAGGGAATTCTGGCTGGAAGGGAAGGGAGTTAAATGGGTTTGAAGAGGAGGAGGGATTTATCCCACAATATGGGAATGCAGGGGGATTAATGAGGTGTGAAGGTGTCATGCCTTGTGAAATCTCATGGAAATCCCACTGGAATCCCACAGGAAATCTCATGGGAAATCACAGGAATCCCATGGGAAATCATGGGAATCTCATTGGAAATCTTATGGGAATCCTATTGGAAAATCCCATAGGAATGCCATGGAAAATCACAGGAATCCCATGGGAAATCTCATGGAAATCCCACAGGAAAACAGGGAATTTCTGTGCCAGGTCCCCACAAGGTGCAGCTCAAACTCCCCCTGGGATTCCCTTTCCCACCATTCCCAGCTGGATCCCCCAAATTCCAAAGGTTTTAGGGAATATTTAAGGAGTGGTACCTTTTTTTTGCCTGTCACAGTCCATTCCTTGAGCACCTCACTGGCATTCCCTGTAAAGGAAAACAGGGATGAGAGGTGGGAAAAGGAGCATTTCAGGTCCTTCCCAGACACTTGGAGGTGCTTCCACACCTGGAAAACCAAGTTTCAAATCTCCTGGTTGATGGAATAAAAGGAGGGGTTTGAGCTGGGCTTTGGGAATTCCCAGTTGAGATGTTGCTCCCTTGGGATACAGGGGGAAAATCCCACTTTTTGGGGGAAAAATCCCATTTTCCAGGGGAAAAATCCAAGTTTCTGAGGAAAAAAATCCCCGAAATCTCCCCTTTGGCTCTGCCATTTCACAGGTTTGGGCACCAAATTCCTATCCACAAACATGGGATGAACCTTCCACACCCCAAATTCCATCCCAAATCCCAGAATTCCCACCTTCCATGAAGGCCTGGACTGTTTTGTCCACACAGTTGTCAAAGTGCTGCAGGACCAGGACGATCTCGTTGTTGCTCCTGTTGGGAACGATCGCTCGGACAGCTCCGATCTGGGGGGGGAAACGTGGAAAACTGGCTGGAATTTGGGCCGTGGGAGGTGATTTATCTGGAATAAAGACTCCAAAGGCTCCTTTACCTTTTCCTTCATGTTCTCAAAGGTCCCTCCCTGGGCCATCACAGTGTTGGACTGAACATCAAAGATAAATCCCGAGGGATCTGTGGGAAAAGGAAAGTCCTAAATAACTGTGCCAAGGAGAATATGGACCCCCAAATCCCACTAATCCCAAAATCCCAGTACCTGAGAGCATTGTCCAAACCCTCCCTGACCTCTGGAATTATGGAATACTATCCTGGATCAAAGTCCAGCTCCAGGCCCTGCTCAGGATATCCCAAAACCTCCCTAATTCCCAAAATCCCAACTTCTCAGAGCCTTTCCCTGAGCTCTGGCAGGTTTGAAGCCTCTTCCTTCCCTGGGGAGCTGTTCCAGGGCCCCACCACCCCCTGGGAGTTGGATTTATCCCCAAATCCAGCCTAAACCCTCCCCTGGCACAGCTCCAGCCATTCCCTGGGATCCCCCAGAGCAGAGACTGGGATGAACAATGATCATTCCCACCCCTCATCCCCACATTAAACCTCCCCCTGATCCCAGCAACAAAGAGTTAAGGAGCCTCTGGAGCAGCCCTTGGATACCAATTTCCTTCTCCTGGAGACACCAGTGGCATCCAGACTGATAAATGGGAATGAAGATCCAGCAGTTTGTGTTCCAGGAGCTCCCAGGGAATGTTTGGATGCTCCAAGAGACCCATAAACGGAGACGAGCCATCACTGACATCCAAAAGGTCACATAAATCTGCACATCCCCAGCCATTCCCGGGGGGATTTCCTGCCAGGCAGGTCTAATTCCAGGTTTAAGAAGGAAAAGGGATGTTGCTGTGGTTTTCTGGGATAAAATATGGTGGTTTAGGGCTCAGGAAGGGCCTTGGAGGGGATAAAAACAGGACCCCGAGGTCTGGAATGACCCCATTTGGCACCACCACCCCTTTCAAGGAATTATTAAGGCTGGAAAAGTCCCCTCAGACACCAATTCCAACTGTTCAAGGGGGCTTTTCCAAACTTACTAATTCCATGAACCCCCTGGAAATCCCATGACCTTCTTGGTGCTGGAATTATTACGGTTGGAAAAGCCCCCTGAGACAACAAATCCAACTGTTTGAGGGGGCTCTTTCAACCTTAATAATTCCAGGACTCCCCGGAAATTCCATGACACCTGTTCCCTCCTGAGACCCGAACCCCCATTTCTGTCCCAGTGAACACACCCGGACCCCTTTTCCTTGGCAGCTCCCCACGATTTGGGGATCCCACCCCCCAGTTCTGCAGAGCCCCTCCGCTGTCCCTGGCTGTGTCCCTGCCCTCCCTGCTCCATCCCCAGCGACATTCCCGATATCCCAGAGCCACTGGCTCCCCCCTCCCCTCCTGTAAATAACCAGGACGTGGGGCGGAGACGCCCCATTGACTCCCAGACACTGACGGAGCTTTTCCTCCCCCACAGCTCCAAACACAGTGACAGAGCCCTGGGAATGATGGAAAGGTCAGCCCTGGATTCTGAGAGGATAAATCCCTCAAAGCCCCTTGGCTGGATCCACCTTCCCACCCCCCCACGTCACTCCCCAGCATTCCAGCCCTTCATCTTCCAAAGGGCTCCAACCTCACCTCAACAGGGGGAATTAACGATGTTTTCCCCCAAAATGTTCACGGCAGAGCAGCCACTGAGGATCCTGGGGAAGGAATCCCAGAGTTCCAGGATCCCACGGATCCAGCCTGGCCCATCCCTCTGTCCCTTCCCACATCCCACCCCTGAAGGTGCCTCCATCCCCTTGTCCAGACTGATCCCAAATCACCACCAAGGACATTAAAGAGGCTCCTGAGCCCTGGCAAGTGCCCATTCCCAGCTGGAAGTGCTGGGATTCCCAGGGCAGGGAGCTCCTTCCAAGCCCCTTCTCCGGCTGCTTTGCTCCGGCCCCAAATCCTCCCGGAGTTCAGACACTTCTCATGCAAAAATTATGCGCCTGAGCCGACCCCAAAGGCGCTGGATGCGGCCCTGGATGCGCTCCCAGGAATCCTTAATGGGATCTGCTGGCACTGGGGCTCCCCGGGAAGGGACGGAATTTCAAACGCGGCCGCCGAGACTCAAGAGTTCGGAATTTGCATTTTTGTGGGAAGGGAAAGATCCTTCCTTGGGTTGGGAAAAGCTCCTTCCACCTGTCAGGAAAAGCTCCTTCCCCATGCCAGGAAAAGCCAGATTTTCCCTCTGGCCAGAGCCTGAATTCCCTCAAAATAACACCTTCCCAATGTTTTCCCACAACTTCCCATCTTTTCCCTCAGCTTCCCCCTTGTTTTCCCCCTCCTAGACCCCCCAATTCCCTTCCCAGGTGGGATTTTCCCTCAGCACTGACAGAACTGACTCCACTCCTTAAATCCTTAAAGGATTCCTTAAATGCTTCCAAGGGCTCAAACTCCAACACAACCACTGAAAACCACTCCCAAATGATCCCATATCCCGATTTCCAGGACTAATTGCCTGGATCCAGCTCAGGGCTCCTCAGGTCAGTGGCATTTCTGTGACAAAGCCTCTGGAAATAACCACTTTATGGAGAACAAAAGCTCTTCCAGGAGGGAAAGGACAGGAATTGTCAACTCAGGAGCCTTAAATTATTAATTAGTCAGTGCAAATAAAGAGAAAATGTGACCTCCCGACACACAAACACCCTCTGGAATTAATATTCCACACAAAGAATCCCCTGGAATCAGCTCCGAGGTGGCACAGAAAGGTGGGCGTGGAGGGAAAAAACCTGCTTCTGGTGCCACATCCAAGGAAAAAAAGGCTTGGAGAGGGTTCATTGGAGGTGCTTTTCCAAGAGGGAAGTGTTTTTCCAAGGCCTGAGCCTTCCCACCCCAAATCCAGGCTCATTCCTTGACTGGACTCCTAGGAAGGGGCTCCCACGAGCCACTCCAAGGAGGAATCCTGTCCCCAAATCCCAAATTCTGTGGAAAACACGACCAAATTTGGGGAGAATTAATCCATAAGGAATAAAAACACACCCCAAATCCAGGCCCAGCAATGGGATTTCACCAGTGGGATCCCAAAAAACCCCCAAAGGCCAGCTCTGCCACTTCCCAACCGTTATTTTTCCCTCACCATGGCCCTTTTTCCCTGCTCTTTTCACTCCTGCTGCCCGTGGAAAGGCTGAGCTATTCCCATCAGAGCCTGGAAGTCACAGCTGTCCGAGCGGGGAGTTGAAATGCTCCTAAAAATGTCACCGAGCCCGGCAGGTCCCGGACGTCACCGAGACGGTGACAAGGAGCTGTCACAGGGCCCCGCAGGGAGAGCGAGGCCTTTTCCCAATTAAAAAACTTGGGAATCACCAGCCCTGGGCCGGGTGGCAAACGGGAGCTTTGATCCTGTCACGTCTCACCTTTTGTGTTCTGCTTTTTAGACATTTCCGGCTCCAAGTTGGGCCACAAAAAGGGGAGAACTAACGGGAATTCCGAGCGGTCTGGGGGACTGGGCAGGAAAATTCCCAGTCCGGGCCTGGAGCTGTTGGGAACGTGGGACAGGCAGAGCAGCTCCTTCCTGGGGGAGGTTCTGTCCAGCTCCAGGAGGAATTTCTGCAAGAGAAAAGAGGGAACGAAACTAAGGGATGAAAGGAGGGAATTGCTGGGGTGGGAGGCAAAGTGGTCCCAGGGGCTTCCAGGGGGTTGGAAGAGTTGGGATTCGAAAGGGATAAAAGAGCCAGGCAGGAAAAAAACCTGCTAAAAATAGATATAAATTTGTATTTATTATATAGGTTTAATTTATGTGTTATTAGTGATATTAAATGTTAGAAATATAAAAAATAATGCTATAAAATATTGTCTACAATCACTGTGATTTCTATACTTTAATTTATATATTATAGAATTTAATATACTATAAATTGCATGTAATGTTATATATTATAATGTTTATAGCATAAATGTAATAATTCTATATATTATATTTTTATAACCTAAATGGCATATAAAATAAATCCCATATAAAATAACCTCCATATATTATAACATATACATATTATAAATATATGTAATTTCATATAGCTTTTTCTAATATAATTTTATATCACATAAATTATTCTATTATGAATTTTACAGCATATAATTTTTATACCTTATAAATTTTACAGCACATAATTTGTATTTAAAGGAAATTTTGTATTTTTATAACATTATTTTGTATATTTATAAAATATTATATATTTACATGTTATATATCAATATTTTCTACATGAATTTTATGCAATGTACATTCTATGCTGTATAGGTTTTATTAAGTATAATCTATATTTTGTATAATATACTTTTTGCTTAATACAAACACATAAATTATACTCAGTATAAATGTTATGCAATATGAACTTTATTCTATTATAAATTATCCATAAAATATCCATAAAGCCCCAAATCCCTTTGGATTTGCTTCAGTTCAACCCCTGAATTTAAAGCCACTTTAAACCCCTGACAGTGAGCGAAAAAATCGAGGAGATTGGGACTAAAACAATAAAAACTGCCACAAATCCCAACATTTCGGGACCGGATCCCACCCAGGGACAACCCAAACTCCTGGATTTCAGGATTGATTCCCCCAGAAAAGCCAAAATCCCTCCACCAGCACCCAACCCCCCCGATTTAACCCCTTCTTCCTGCTTTTTCAAGGGGCACAACCCACCCTCCGAGGTGGGAATTCGGGGGGGGATTTTCCTGGGGGAAAAAAAAAGCAGGATAAGGGTTAAACAAAGACCAGGATCCAAAGGTGAGGGAACAATAGATCCGGCTCTGGGATAAACCTCCCGATGGAGCAGGGGAAAAGCTCCCAAAATTCCCATTTTCTATGGAAAACAGATCCCAAAATTCTCCTTTTCCTCTGGAAAACAGAGGGATCTGGAGGCACAAAATATTTGGGATACTGGGAGAGTTTGTCCCTGCCAGGAAAAGGGGCAGGAATGACCTGACAGGGAATTTGCTGCAGGATTAATTAACCCCTGGATCAAGGTTGTTTTTAAGGACTCAAAAGTGCCAGGGAATTTTTTTAAGGATTGACAAGTCCCAAGAATTTTTTTAAAGGATTTACAGGTCCCAGGATTTTTTTTAAGGATTTGCAAGTCCCAGGATTGTTTTTAAGGATTCACAAGTCTTGGGAATGCTCCAGGAACAGGGTTTGGATTTAAAACCAGTCTTTTCCACTCTGGACTTTCCTTCCAAGCTCCCAAACTCATTCCCAAGGAGTGAATCCCAATGATTGAAATCCCAGATGAAATCAACCCTCCTTTCTGTACCAAAAAAAACCAAACAAAAAAACAAACAGGAAAAGGAATTTTTTACCTGGAAAGAGTCCCAAAAGGAAGGGATTAAACTCCTGCCTTCAGCTTTTCCCAATTAAAACTCCTTCATCCCCAAAAAGCAAGTCTGGAGTTGGGAATTCCGGGGGATCCGAGGGGTTGCAGCCCAGTTTCACTTCCCTGCTCTGCTCCGTGGCCTGTGGCCAGACCAGGAAACGCTGTGCCAGGAAAACCTTGGGATTGCAGACAGAGCCGGAGCTCAGGAGAGGCTGGAGCTGCCGCCCGACCTCTGATCCCGGGGTCAGAACCCTTTGCAAGGGCCTTAAACCCACAGCCGGGCTCCAAATGCGGCAATTCAACAAAACCCGGACCAAAGTCCCCTTTACAATCTTACTTTTGGGAACCAAAGGGGTGGGAATGCTCCGGAATGAGGGTCTGGAGCACCTTGGGAGTGTTTCAGTTCCCCGGGTGGAACAAAGGGATGTTTAAAAAGTGCCTCTGCAGGGACAGCCCGGGGGCAAAGCGGGGCACAAACACCCCCAAGTCCATAAAAAAGCTGGAAAAAAATATGAGCTGGCTGTGGAGTCTTTTGAGAAAAGTCAAAACCCCCCCAAAAATCCCACCTGAGCAGCCAAAACCCGGAGTTTTGTTGTGCAGTTTAAAGGAGGAAAATCAACGGGAATTAAGGGGGGGTGGAACAAATGAGGGTTTGGAAAAGGGAATTCTGAGGACAAAACCGGAATATTGGGAATGGGAGTCAAAGCCCATGGATAGATAAAATGGGATAAAATGGTTAATTCTTGATAATTAATTAATATTAATTAATATTTCACCTGGTAAAGCTCCTGGGACCCGGCAGATCCCTGGGAATTCCAACCCAGCTTTAAGTGGGAATTTTCACCATGAAGGGCTGGAAAAACCCACTAAATCCAAGTGGGAATTCAGTGGGAAAACAGGAATTAACACAAAGAGGAGGTGGGGGGGTTATAGAGAGACAGGAAAGCCCCAAAACTGCCCCAAAAATCCAGATTTCAATCAAATATTGTTGTTTTAAGGGAATTTCCGTGGAGCAAAACAACCCAAATCTGGCTGGAAGGACCAAATTTCTGCAGGAAACTTCCCCACGTCCCGTGGAAATGCAGAGGATTGTTACAAGAGACTGTCAGCAGAGGGAAAACAGTTAAATTTCTCAGCCAGCAAGTCAAAAAAACCCCTCAATTCCCAAATTCCCAATTCCAGAGCTGTTTTTGCTCCATCCAGACTGATTATTCAGGGAAAATTTGGGTGGAAAAGTGAGAAACAGGGAGAAATTTGTCTGGGTTTTTATCAGTCTCAGGGAGATTCGACTAAAAAAATTGGTGTTTGAAAGAATTAAACAAAAATTGGGGGTTTTGGGGGGGGTTGGGCTCCTGGAAAGGATCACGTGGATAATTGGCTTTGGAATTATGGAGCCTCATATTCCAGGTTATTTCCATCTTGGGGATCATCCCTGAGTACACAGAAATTGGCATTTTCTAATTATTTTCCAATAAAAATCCAATTTCCAACACTCTGGAGGCCCCAGGTGGGCCCTGACCCCCCTGTGGAGCACAAGGAATTAAATCCTGACTAAAAAATGGGAGCAGACACTAAAAATCCAGGGATTTCTCACAAAAAACCACTGCAAAGTCCTCCCAAAAAGCTGAAAAAACCACAAATTGTCTGTGAAGTGCCCGGGGAAGCTCAAAAATCCCCCCCAAAATTCCACCTGAACAGCCAAAAAATAAGAGTTTTATTCAGTTTAAAGGAGGACAACGAACAGGAATTAAGTGGGAAGGAGGGAATAAACACACCCAGGGTTGGGATGAGGGTTTGGAAAAGGGAATTCTGGGCAGGAAATAAAATACATAAATGTATAAAATATATTATAGATTATATAAATAACATTTAAATAAAATACATAAAGATTTAACACCCCAACAGCCCAAATTCCTGTGCTGTGGTGGGAAGGTTTTTTTGTTTAGAACTCCCAGCTCCAGTTTTATCCCAAATTCTGCTGAATTCCCAGGAAATTTAAACCCTATACTTTGGGATTTTTTTCTCCCCCAAAACATGTGAAGTTCAAGTAGAGCAAAATAAACCTTTTTATCCCTTCTTTTCACACATTCCTTGGTGGGTTCTGACCCAAAAGTGAATATTTTTGCCCCAAAACAGCCACAAAATGCATCAATCCAGGGATTTTATCCCAAAGGAAAGAAGGAGCAGCACCAGCCTGCCTGGAATTGCAGGGTTTTTCCCCCCAAAAAAGTCTGGATAATCAGTTTTTTCCCCAAAACAATCAGGATAATCAGTTTTCAGAAGCCTTTTAAACACAAGGAAAGGCCAATTCCAGCGGTTCTTCCCATCCCAAAGGTGCTCCTGGAACACCAAACCCCATCTCAGGATTTAAAAGGAATAATTCCTTAATGTCCCTCTTGGGGCCTGGGGGGGAAGTGGAAGGTGGGAGATAATGAGGTGTCTGTATTCCAGGGAAATCCACCCATTTATTGTCCGGAATTATTCCAGGCACGGCTGGGAATGAGGGATTATCCCACATCCATCTTTTATGAGGTAATTGGGACACGTTTTCCTGCTTCAAAGGGGTAAAACTGTGGAGTTCAGGGGGTAAAATATTCCTGAACAAGGAGGGGAAGGAGAGGGGAAAAAAGGAGAAGGGAAAAGGAAAGGAAAAGGAAGGGAAAAGAGGGAGAAGGAAAAAAGGAAAGGGAAAGAAGGGAAAGAGGGAAGGAAAGAAAGAAGGGAAGGAAAGAAAGAAGGGAAGGAAAGACCCCAAACTCTCCAGCCCCTCCCCCTGCAACTTTTGAGGGGAAGAAGCCTGAACATCTTCCAAAAGAACCATTTTTACGCTGGGAAAGATCTCCAGGATCATGGAATCCAAGGGAAAACCTCGCAGGGAAGATGTGGCAGCCAGAGCTTTCCCGTGGGAGCATCCAGTGGGAAACACAGCCCAGAATGCGGGAAAAATAGTCCTAAACCCCTCAAAACCCCAAAATATCTGGTGGGACACTGAGGTCGAGCCCTCAGGAAGTTGTTAGGGAATTTTCAGGCCATTTTCCCGGTTTTCCAAGTTTTCCTCCCATCCCAAGCTGGAGTTGAAGCTCCTGGGACCCCTCAAATCGCACCCTCAGGACCCCGGGGGGGGACAATTACACCAGAAAGCACCTCAGGGACAATTCCCACATCCCAGTTAGAATCTTCCCCATTCTCCACGTGGAATTAAATCCCACATTTCCCCTTCCATCCCTCTGGAATCTCTGTTTTCACAGGGAATGAGCCACAACTTCCCTGAAAGGGCTCCCTCAACAACGGGCTGGGACAGGAGCAGCACCCACGGGGAGGGAAAAGTGGGAATTAGGCTCTGGAAAAGTGGGATTTAAACTCTGGAAAAGTGGGATTTAAACTCTGGAAAAGTGGGAATCAGACCCTGGAAAAGCCTCCCCACATCCTGCTGCCTGGATGTCCCATGGAGAAATCCCTGAGTGGATGAGGAGGGCGAGAATCTGTGCTGAACCCAGGGACTTCGGGGGGGTTCTGGGGGGAACATGATGACGATAATAATAATAATAGTAATAATGATAATTTCTTGCCTATTTTCACCACGTTAACTGTTGGGAATAACGACCAAAGGAAGGGAAAACCCCAGTCCCTGGGGATTTGGGAGCCATTTGACAACCCCCAAATTCCTGTCACCCCCTTGGGCTGGCAAAGCTCCTCAGCCCCCCCAACCCTCACAAAGCCCCTCAGACCTCCCAGAAGGTCCCTCCACCCCCCGTAAGTACCCTCAGAGCCTTCCCCAATCCTCACAAGGCCCCTCACCCCCCTCAGACTGGACCCCTCAGACCCCCCCAAGGTCCCTCAGCCCCCCAACCCCCCACGAGGCCCCCTGTGACCCCCCAAACCTTCACAAGGCTCCTCTGACTCCCTCAGACCCCCAACTCATCAAGAGACCCCTCAGCCCCCCCAGGGAGACCCTCGGCCCCGCACCCCCACCCCCTCACGAGACCCCTCGGCCCGGCCCCAACGGCGCCTCCCCCGCCTCCTCCCGCCCTCCGGGTCGATCCCGGAGGTGTCCGGGGGGTGTCCCGAGGGGTGTCCCGCACTCACCGGGGGGTCCCGGGGGTGTCCCGGGGGGTCTCTCTTATTGCCCCCCCTTCTCCTCCTCCCGCGATCGCTCCGCGCGGGGGCCACGGCCCGGCAGAGCCCCCTCCGCGCGACAGCCAATCAGCGCGCGGCCCCCGCCCCGCCGGCCAATCACCGTGCACCCGCGGGGAGCGCTCCGCCAATGACAGCGCGGGGAGGCCCCTTTAGTCCCGCCCCCCACCGCCGTTCCGCAGCTAAGCCCCGCCCTCCCCGCGAGAGGGGCCTGACTAACCCCACAGACAACCAATCAGATTCCTGAATCTTTTGATTACGCCCATAATGGGCGGGGCGAATGGCGCCGAACGTGGACGGAAACAGGCGGAAATATCCGAATGGGGGTCGCTGGGGGGAGGGTGTCCGGGATCGGGAGATGGCGGGTTCGAGTCCCTGCCTCGACACAACGAGGGACGGCCGGGGTGAGGGGACAGAGGAGTGTCGTGTTTGTCACAGTGTCACCCTCCCACTGCCCGCCGCGGCCCCGCCAGCTCTTCGTAGGCCTCCTGCAGCTCGATGAAGCGCCGCTCGGCCTCCCGCGCGCGGTGCCGGTTGTGGTCCGGGTGCCAGAGCTTGACGAGCTCCCGGTAGCTCCGCTGAACGTCCTCGGCCGAGCAGCCCCCGCGGAGCCCCAGGACCTGCGGGAGGCACAGGGCAGGGCGGTGGGGACGGTGGAGGGGGAGCCCAAAGCGGGGGTGTGGCCCCCGGAGTGTGGGAGCGGCCGAACCACTTGGACCCCCCATCCCAGCCTCCCCCACCCCATGGACCCCCGTCCCAGCCTCTCGTATGTCACAGCCCCCCATCTCAGCATCCCCCACCCCACAGACCCCCATCGCAGCCCCTCCTACCCCATAGACCCCCAGCACATCATCCCCTGCCCCATGGACCCCCCAGCAGAGCATCCCCCACCCCACAGACCCCACAGCCCCCCATCCCAACATCCCCCGCCCCAAAGACCCCCCAACAGAGTATCCCCTGTCCCATGGACGCCACGGACCCCCCAACCCACCAGCCCCCTCCACCCTGACCCCCCAGCTCCCCCCACCCCCCTCCTCTCGTCCCCCCCGCGTCTCCCTCACCTCCAGCGCCCGCCGCCTCCTCTCGTTCGCTCCGCTCCCCGCGCCCCCCCGACCCCCCTCGGGGCCCCCCCCGACGACTCCCAGCCCCTCGAGCAGCGCCCACCCCGCGCGGAGGGGCAGGACCCCCACCCTGAGGGGCAGCGTCAGGACGGTGCCCGCGACCCCCAGGGCCCCGCTGACCCCC